TGACCTTTAGTGCGGGCGGGCGAATGGGGCAGGTGGTGGGCTGGGCGGCAACCCGGTATGTGCCACGTGCAACAAACCTCAAACAACACCCTTCCTCACCCGACAGGATGTTGTCCAGTCCGTAGCTGGCAGGGTTGGACTGGATGTCTGCGTCCAGGGCGTCGTTGTCCCAGCCATCTGCATAGATTGGCAGAAGAGTGGTTGCTGCAAGCTGGACGGCACGCATAAAGCCTCGAGGCAGCACGGGAAGAGCAGACCAGCAAACCGCCTGCCATACAGTCGGCGGCAGCCACAGAGCCAGGGAATGGGCCTCCCGCTGGAAGGCTCACCATTCCCTGCGGCTGCCACAAACAGGATGCCCGCTTGCTGCAGGTCGGCAATGGCGGCCTCCTCCAGGGCATCAACGTAGTAGCCGCCGTAACTGGCACTGACCACCCGCACGCCCGCCTGTTTGCACAGTGTGTAGCAATCGAGCACATCTGAGGTGGCAAAAAAGAAACCCCAATAGGTGTTGTACGATGCGGCCTTGCAGATCCGCAGGGACACCTGCAGATGCAAGCAGGGGCAGGGGTCCTCACTTGGTTGAACAAGCTTCCTCATCAGTTGAACGTGCCAAACTTCAGACCACCGGCATATCAAATAAACCGGCACATCGTGCCAGCCCACATTGCCACTCACATTCCAGGCAACACCGGTGACACCAACCAAGTTGTTGCCCACTGCGCCCACAATCCCGGCTGTGTGAGTGCCATGCCCGTGGTGGTCTGCAAGAACATCGCAGCAGAGAAGTGGCACAGCGGCCTCGGCATTTTGACCCACAAGCACACGCCGATACACTGCCAACACCGCCAAGGGCAGTGACGGCCGCACCAATGGCGCACCCGAAACATTATGGTAAAGCAGGGTGTCGTTGGCTGGGCTTCCGGCCCTGCAGCCGAAGCATTGGGACAGCAGGATGCATGGCTGGCAAGGTTACCAGGAGGTGTGATACGTGCAACGTTGGCGGGGAGAGGGGGCTGGCTGCAATCCACCAAGACACGCACGCTGCCAGCCGTGCCTCCCAAGCAGCACACCTGTTCCAGGCGCTGGCGATGTTGCCTGCCAGGTCCTGGTGCGTGACGCGGGCGCCGGTGTCAACCATACACACGCCCACCTGCAGCAGCCAGCCACCCAACAAATCTGAAGTTGGGAGGAGCGGCAGCAGGGAATGCATGCAGAAGCATTTGCCAGCAGCCTGGCAGGTGCCTGCCGATCAGCCGTGGCAGCGGCAACAATGTGGTACCGCAGGCATCGTGTGCACCTGCTTTGAGCCAGTGGTGGTGTCCCAGGCCACTGGTGCCGAAATCTGGCTCAGATGCCAGTGTGACGAGTAGGTGCCAAAGAAAACGTCGTTGGGCACCATCGCGCGGCCGACGCCGCTGGGGACCCAGGCGGTTGGTGGAGGCGGGGGAGCAACCGCCAAGTACCGCACGTAGTCGGGTTGCACCATGGCAACCTCTGCGGCAGCAACCGCAGAGATACGTAGGAGCAGGCAGACGACAGGGCCTGGACGCATGCAGGCCCCGCCCCCAGCAACCCCATGGTGCGCACCTGCGTGGTTCAGCAGCTGTGCCACCTTCTCCTCCACACTGCTGCCGTCAGTGATGTTGAACAGCATCACACTGTCAGCCGGCACGCTGGCGCTGGCCGTGCCACTGTTGGCTGCGGCGGCAGCTGCGACGAGGGCGCCGCTGCCACGGCCTGGCACCCCTTGCCGCTTGCCCACCAGGCGGTGCAGGCGGAGACCAGCCAATGGGCTACGCGCCTGCGCCATGGCGATTCGAGCGGCGGCAGGGGTTTGCCTGAACTGCACGAGCACTCGGCCAGGCATCACTTTTGCGCGCTGCGCCCAGTGGTTCAGCGGCGCCGCAGATGTGGTGGCGGCAGCGACCCTTGGCTGTGCCCCCACCGCCGCCGCTACTACGTCGAGGCCTGCATGTTGCAACCAGAGCGCAGAGAGGCGCTGGAGGAGGCCGCGTCCCGATACAGGCAGCCGGGGAGAAGGGGAAGCTGCCGCATGGCGGTCATGCAGTGACAACCTCCCTGCGTGCGACACGTACCTGCCAGCAGTAGCAGCAGCAGGAACAGCAGCATGGCTCTGCAGGCCACCTGCTGCGAGCAGCTACCCGCGGCCCGCCACTGGCGAGGCCGTTGCAGCCTCATAGGAGCCTCATGGTGCCCTACTTTGCAATTAAACAGCAAAGGACGAGCTGTGGCGTGTAAGCGTCTCAAGCGGTGGAGAGCCAACGCGAGCAACAGAAACAGCTGGTAGGGGGCTGGAAAAAACTGCAACTGGGTAGAGGCGCACAGACCAGCGTCGATCTACGTAGGGCCGCTGTGCGGGGACCGCGCTGAGCTGGCGCCCGCCCACCGCCCGGGGGGCGGAACAGTGTCTTATTTTATTAGCAGTAGCAAATGTGTTGTAACAATGCACTGGAATGCGAAAGCGGGTGTGAACACGGGGCACAAACGGCATCACAAGCCGGGCAGGGCAACCACAGGGGCCTGCGCCGACAGCGCAAAGCTTAGAGGCACATCAACTGGTGACGCCCCAGATGCATCTGCCAGTGGCACATCGAAACAGAGCTCCTGGAATAGACAAACATCCCCCAATTGGCAGAAGTACAACTTTGCAACGATCCGCAGCAGCAGGCCACTGCCGCCACTGCCCGCCTGCCTGCTGAATCGGATGGCCGCGATGGCAGCGCTGCCGCTGGCATCCTCAGTCAGGATGCCGGCTGGCGGCCGTAGCTGCACGCCGCCGCCGCCACCCAGCACGACCGCCGAAAAATTGCTGTTGGCTCCAGGCGTCAAGTGATAGCCTGGCGGAAGTCGAATACTCAGCCGCACCTCGCCAGAGGCAGCCGTCACGGCGCTGGGGGCCTGCACCAGCACCGCCCCCGGTGGCGGGTCTGCTGACGGGCTGGCGTCGCCCGCAGGGGGCCCTTGAGGGGAGCGGCGGGGTGGCGGCACGCCCTTCAGAGCCAGTGTGGTGAGGCGCTGTGTCCGTGGGTCGTACGTCCTAATCAGCGAGTTGTTGGTGTCACAGATGATGACGGTGCCTGCAGATATTGGCAGGCAGTGCAGCTTAGCTCTGCCCAGCATCCTGCACGAGGGGGAATGCACCTGCTGCCCAGATGGTCCCATATGGCCAACAGCCATCATGTCGCCGCAGCATTGCTGATGACATCAATGACATCAGGGGCATCGGGCCTGCTCACCATCGGGCCCAGCTGCCAAACCGGCGGGCTCCGACAATTGCGCCGTTGTGCCAACGCCGTCACGGTATCCGGCGGCGCCGCTGCCAGCCAGTGTGCGGATGGTGTTGGTGGCAGGGTCCAGCTCCTTTAGGCGATGGTTGTACGAGTCTGCCACATACACTTTGCCGCTTGGGGCTGCGAGCACAGCCAGGGGGTGCTGCAGCAGCGCATCGCTGCCGGTTCCATCCTTGTCCCCAAACCTGCAGAGCAGAGTAACACGCAGAGTGGCGCACTCTGGGGGACGGCGAGCACAGCAGTTTTTTTAACCATTCCACAGCAGTTTTTTAACCTTTCCTGAATAAGTTTTCGGCAAATAGGGCGTCGCCGCCCACACAGGCCTGGCTGCCACCACTGCCCAGGTCCAGCCGCCGCACCGTACTGCTCTCCGAGTCTGCAGCAGGGTGCAAAAAGCATGGCAACGCCTTGATGAAAGTGGGGAGGTGTGCATTTCTTTTCCATCGCAGTAATAGCAGCAGCAGAAGTGTGCCTGCTATCTCACGCACCTGCCACAAACAGCGCATCGCCGGTAGGGGCCAGGGACAGGCCGCTGGGCTGTGCCCAGGCGGTGGTCAGTGCACTGGGCCCATTCTGAAAACGCTCAAATCCAGTGCCACTGAAAGAGGAGGCGATACCTGTGCTTGTGTCGAAACGCCAGATCTGGTGCAAACCCGCCATGGCCACATAAACGTATCGCTCCGTGCTGCAGCGCAGGCAGTCAGCCACCAGTTCCAGGATCATGGTTGCGCCAGGCACCTGAACAGCTGTGCCAGAGGCGGGGCCTGTAGCCACCACTTTCATTTACAGCTTGTCACTGGTCACCACCCACCTGTCCAGCACCACGTCCCATGGCGAGTTCATAAGCTGTGAGGCACCAGACCCACCACCACGGTAGTCACTGCCTTTTGCTCCGTTACCTGAAGGGGACCAGGTGGAGTGGCTCCAGAGGTATGGAAATGGCTGCGAAAAGGAAAGCAACCAACATGCAGGCGGCCACCTTCCAAAAAGGCATAGCAATCCTGCTCAACTTGGCGCAGCGCAGGCGCACCTGCCAGCGTGAAGACAGTCTGTTTCTGGAGGTCCACCTGTCTCAGGGCGTGGCTCTCGGTGTCGGCAACATACAGGCAGTCTCGCTGCGGGGCAAAACAGGTTTTTGGGGGGCAAGAGGCATGCACAGCAAGCGTCAGAAGCGAGGGTGTGGCGGGATGAAATTGGCAACAAGCCGTGCACTGAAAAGGGCTGCTCTGACCAGCTGGTACCTTGGCACTGTAGGCTATGCCCTGGGGGCGGAAAAAGGCAGCGTCCTCATAACTGCCGTCCACCAGCCCGGGTGCACCACACCCAATCGCCTCCAGGAAGCGGCCATTCTCGTCACACACCACAATGCGATTGTTGTTCGAATCCGAGATGAAGAGCCGACCAGCACGGTCGCTGACCGCCTTGCCTGCGGCAGCAAAAGGGGCGGGGGCAGAGGTTTCTGAAACTTGGCGGTGACCACCAGACTGGCAGAATTCCAGCTGCGAGCGGAGCGAGCTGGCGGAATGACAAAAGCCAAACCGCCAGGGGACTCGCGGGCTTGACTTCCTAGGGCAGCACCGACCAGGAAACCGGTCACTGAAAGGTGGTTTAAAGCACACGCACGACCTGGGAGCACACGCACCTGGGAAGCGCAGCGGCGAGGCGGCCAGGCGCGGGTCCTTCTCCCGCTCCAGCGCCAGCGGCAGCGGCGTGGCATCCAACAAGCCCTGCCTGCCATAGTGCTGCAAGGGGGAGGGACGGGGTCGAGGAGGTGTGGGGAGGGGCAGGGGGAGAGTGGCAGGGCGGGCACCCTGGACAGGGGAGCACAGAATGGACGACAAAATCCTCAGCGTGAATGACAAGACGCAGCGAACAGCAGCTCACCTCGATTGCTGCTGCCACAATGTCGTCAACGTCTTGCTTGTGGCCCTCGCCAGACAGCATGGCGATTAGCTTGCCCTGTGGGCTGACCACCGCCAGCGTGGGCCAGCTCGAGACGCCCAGTCCCCGCCACAGCGTCATGCCCGAGTCATTCACCACCGGATGCTCCACCTCATACCGTAACACTGCAGTACACACATGGGACACGGCAATGTGTGTGGGCGGGCGAGTCCACATCAGTTGCCCCAAAGTAAGCTCTTCCAGCATATGAGGGTGGCTCTCACACACCTGCGCTTCGGATGGCATCAGAATCTTTCTCGTTGTCAAACTTGGCACTGTGCACGCCCACAACGGCCAAGTTCAACGGGTACTTGCGCTCAAGAGACGCCAGTTCAGGCAGCACATGCATGCAGTTGATGCAGCAGTACGTAAAAAAGTCGAGGACGAGAATTTTGCCTCGCAGCTCTCGATCTAGCCGCAAAGGCGCGCAGTTGAACCAATCCACTCCAGCTGGAAACTCTGGCACGACTTGCCCGCCGCCCCGCTTCTCCAGGTCTGCAGCAAGCGCGAAGTGGAGGGTTGGGTGGACAGGCTACGCGTGGCTGGGTCCTGCGGTTCAGTCTTCTTCCTTCTAGGCCAACTCCCCACCAGTGTGGCTCAGTACCTGCGATGTAGCGCTTGAAGGCCGCTACTCTGGAGCCACCAATGTCCTCCATCGGTGGTGGCTGGGCTGGGGGGAATAGCGCATTCAGCAGCGCTTTGGGGCTGGCATATGACAGACTCTACAGAAAGGAGGGTGGGGTGCGACCTGTCGAGTTGAGGCACAATCAGCGGGAAAAGGACAAGAAAAGGCTGCTGCCTTCCCTGCTGAACCAGCAGGGAAGGTGAGGAGGCTAGGAAGGCGCGATCCTGGACAGCATTGCCAACCTTGCGGAAGTATTGCCAGCCAGATGCGACATAGGCAATAATTGCGAGCTGAACCAGCGCAGGAATGTGGTATTGCAGCAAAAAATGCCGAACTGCTGGGTCATGCTGCAGAGGGCAGCCGAGTGGACCCGCTGTTGCTGCTGCTGCTGAGGCGCGACCGGCAGCAGCCCAGGACAGCACTGTCAACCTTACTCCTGTTGTGGCACACCTGGGCACGTGAGATGCCAACGTAAAGCGAAGCAAACGCCCCTCCAAGGGAGGCACTCTTCAACAGGTCCCTCCTCGTAGTGCGATAGCCGGCTGGCAAGTAGACGACTCCCTCCATCCAGCCGCGATTGCTAGGCGAGGCAACGGTGCCACCTGATGGTCTGGCGCCCGCCGCCTCGCTGCCCTGCATTAGCCGAGCAGGGGCGGGGCTGGTGTTACAGGGCAAAGAAGACATGGTGGTTGACGTGCAAACTGACAGGCTAGCGTTCTTGATGAATGAAGCAATCCAGGAGAAAAGCTGCGGGCCCCGGCAACCTTCATGCTGGCACCTGCCGCTGCAGCTGCTGCTGGTCCAGCGACAGCTTCAGCCCTTGGATGTCTGCCACAGTGATGCCCAGCACATCAGCTTGAATCCAGTCTGGCGCCGCCGACTGCATGACCGCTGGCGTGAGGGTAGTCGAAACGCCGATGACACGCATCCCTGCAGCATAATGCAAGCCAGAGTGCAAGAGAAAGGTGGAGGGCAAGATGGAGCGCAGCAGAGCGCAAAGTGCCACCAGCCGCAGAATCGCTTGCTTCTGCCACACAGCCCAGGCCACCTGCTGCACGTGCTGCCTGGACGCCGGCGACCGCATCCTCAATAACGACACAGTTGGCAGGGTCCACGCCCAACTGAGCAGCAGCTGCCAAGAAAATGTCTGCACGGGAAATGAAGGGGAACCTGGGGGTGCCAAAAGCAGCATTCAATCATGCAGTATAGGCAGCCAGGGAAGGGCGACGATCTGCTGCCGGCACGCCCAACAGTGGCTGTGAACCTGGCGAGGGCTTCAAGTTCTGAAAGGCATCTGCCGACACGATGGCATCAAATAAATCCAGAGGGATGTCGGACGCGGCCAGATTAGCATCCACCTGGTGCCAGGCGGGGATGGCGGGAGGGGAGCAGATGAAGAGCAGCGGGCAGAGCAAACCGCCTGCATTGCCTCAATGACTGCTACTTCGCTGAGGGCATGGCCGCCTGCACCTTCACTCGGTCGGCGCTGGATGCCACGGCAGTCTTCAGGCCCGCAGCGCGGCAGGCCTCCACCAGGGAACGAGCGCCCGCATGCGCAATGGATGTTTTTTGCGCATACCGCATGTAGATCTCAAAGAACTTGGCCTTGCACGATTCAACCTCAAACGGGGCGCCATACTTGCGTGCCACGCCGCCTGCGTAAGTTGGGCGCATGGCGTCAGCATCTCTTTTCACATCAGGCTGGTGGCAATGCCCCTACTGCTCCCGCCGCACACCTAGGAAGTTGGCTTCGCCAGTGCCAGTGTATTCTATGAACTCGCTGGGCTCCACCTCCAGCCCGTACAGCTCCTTCATGACTTCGCACGCCGCCTCCCGCGAAATCTCCTCGCTGTCGCAGAGCACCCCATCCTGCAGGGAAGGGAGGCGAGGGACAGATGAGCAATGGCAAGGGAACAGACGGCTTGCATAACAGCAGTGTTTTTTTGTGTTCGCCCCATCGACCCACAGCATCGAAACTCACCATGTCGAACAGAATGGCCCTCACTTCTGGCACCAAGTCAGGCGCGGCAGCGGTGACCTGGCCGCTGCTGCTGGTGCTGCTGGCGAGCACGGGGCGTGGGCGGCGCTGCGACCGACGGCGCGGCGGCAGTGGCCCTGGTTGCGCTACTGCCCTTCGCAGTCCCAGTCCCGGAGTCACAAATGCGCGAGCATGACGAGGCTGCCCTGCTGAACTGCGCAGCAGCTCTGCAGCAAGAGGCACTGCACCGCTAGTGGCCATGGCCCCCTGAAAGGCCCACGGCTGCGTGACTGCTGGCGATCGGAAATGCGTTCGTTGCTTCAAAGAATGTCGCTTAATAGCGGGATGTGTGCACTCGCATGGGCTGCAGCATGGGCAGCTCAGCCCATCAGCGCCCACGCCGCCCCGCCACTCCCCTTGTCTCCCCTTTGCCCGTTCATCCCACCTGCCGCCATCCCGCAGAAATGGCCTCCGCAGTGAGCAGCTCCGTGGTGAGGTCCCCACACAGCCAGCCGCATGTGCCTCAGAAAGGCGCCTGCCAAGCGCCTGCTAAGCACGAGTGCGTCCCGGTGACCCCTGCAGGCCACTCGCCCCGCGGCCTTCGCCAGCCAACAGCAGCGGCGCGCGGCGCGCGGCAGCCGCCGCTTGCAGCGCTGCTTGGCGGCGGCAGACAACGAGGAGCAGAAGCTGGACTTCACCAGCAATAAGCGCGCGGTCAGTTCCTGCGACGGCAGCAGGGGCAGGAGCAGCGTAGCAGGGTGCAGCACAGATCATCAACCAGCTCCTCGCAGACCCCAACTGCAATGCAGCCCTCAAGTGCCTGCCGTGCCTGCCTCTGAGGTGCCGCCTCCCTCCGCTTGCTTGCAGGCGCTGGGCTTCACGGAGAGTGACTCCGCGGGGCAGACCAACGTGTTTGCGGTGGAGCCCAAGGTGTATGTGGCGGGCAGCACCGCGGACACGACTTCTGCTGGCAACCAGGCGACCATCTTCATTGCGGGTGTGGCAGCGCTGGCCGCGGCGGCTGCTGTGGTTGGCGGCCTGCTGGCCAACACCGGCCCCTCAGGTGCGTCTGGTGGCGGCGGGACGCGCGCAGGCGCGCAGGCCAGGAGCAGAGGCTCCATCTCGTGTGGTGCATCATTCCCCGGATTGTGCCGGCATTGCCAAGGTCGCGTGTGCAGCAGACCGCTTGCCAAGGTCGCGTGTGCAGCAGACCGCTTGCCAAGGTCGCGTGTGCAGCAGACCGCCCTTCAGCATGCCTGCCAGTGCTTCTCGGTTTGGTGTAGGCGGCGCCCCCAGGGCGGCACCTGATGGCATGCCTTGCCCGCATTTCCCCTGCCGTGCCCTCCTGCAGCGCTGGACGCTCTGGTTCCCGCTGAGGATGTCAAGACGCTGACCGCCTACAGCAAGCTTTTTGCGGCTGAGCTGGCGCCCGCGCCGGCGCTCAGCGAGTAGAATCATTCAAAAATGCTGCTTTTTGCATTGCACTCGCTGCTCTTGTTGAGCCGTAGGTTGTTGAGCGGTAGGCAGAGGCGGGGCGGCCAGCTCAGCTTTCATACCCAATTTCAAGTCCCCCACACGGCTGGGTTAGTAACACCATCCCAGACCCATTACTGGCAATGCGATGATCACAGGCCAGAGGTGGACACCTGCCGGTGAACACCAGCCGCCAGCGGGCCGTACTTCTGCTCTGTACTTCTGCTGGTCGGTCAGCTTGATTTGCAGCCCTGCATTTTGCCTCCCCATGCTCCCCTCGGTTACCCGCCGCCTTCCCAAGGCCCGAGCCCCTGGCTAGCAAACTCGGCGCGCAGAGCTCGCAACAAGCATGAATTTCGACCTGTCAAAGCTCGACAAACTCGGCAAGCCGGGCACGGCAAAAGAGCCCGCGGCCAAGAGCGCCAAGTTTGTGCCTCGCCTGAATGTGTGTGCGCACGTTTTGCGCTGCCCTGGGCTCTTGCGCTGACGTATTCGGCCTGGGTGTGCATGCCGCATGTGGGCAGCAGCAGCACGCAGGCACTGATGGGCGACGGCGGCACGACGACAGTCCGCTGTTGTCTGCTTGAGGTGGCCTGCTGCCCAACCAGGCTGTTGGCTGAAGGCGCTTCCACAATGTTCCCAATGTCTCGCAGAAGCGCCGGCCCAGCCAGCAGCAGGCCTTGTCCACAGCGGGGGCAGCGCCACCGCCCGCAGGTTCGGATCTGGAGAAGGGGTGGCTTGCAGTCGTTTGCAACCTGCTGCAGCTGAGCCGATTATGTTGAGTGCGCCCAAGCGTATGCCGGCTGAGATGCTTTGCTTGCCATTTTCACAACAACTCCCTGTCTGCCTTCTGTTATGCCTTCTGTGCGCAGAGTGGCAGCAGCAGGCCGCGCCACAGCCAGCGCTGCAGCAGCAGCAGAACGACGCCGTTGTTACATCAACCGCGGCACCCACGCAAGCAGCAGCCGCACTGCGCAACAGCCAGCAAGGAAAGCAAGCACCGGGTGTTCCTGCAGAGGTAGGGGCAGCACTGTCGCTCGACGGACATGCACGTCTGGCCCCCACGCAAGCCAGCCAGGCAGTTGTACACGCCAGGCCTCCTGGGGCTGCCACTGGCCAAGCCAGCGCCCGGCGCAAGGGGCCTGCAGTGCCAGATGCTGGAGCTGCCGCGGCAGCTGTTGCTGCGGCAAAGCAGGCTGTGGCGGCCGCGGCAGCAGCATCCGCGGAGATTCAGCAGCGGGAGGAAGAGGGCCAGCCTGTCTCGTTTCAGGCGGCTGTCGAGCAGGCAGCGCTGAAGAAGGTGGCAGCAGCAGCAGCGAAGACTGTGCCCAAGGGCATGCGTAAGCGAGGGCGCCCCACCAAGGCAGAAGCAGCGGCACGCGCTGCAGCTGCGGCTGCAGGGCTGCCATTTGCAGGACGCATGGTGGTGGCGCCGCCGCAGCAGGCCAGCACAGGAGGGGAAGCGGCAGCAGACGGGCAGCGCGGGGCAGGACTCAACATCAGCCACACTGCAGGCGACCATGTGCAGCCCACCGTGCCCAAGCGGCAGAGTCGTCTCCCCAATGCTGCAAAGGCAGCAGCAACAGCTGCCGCCACCGCCGGAGCCGCAGCGGCAGCTGTGGCAGATGCCACCGAAATCGCGATAGAGCAGCAGCAGCATGAAGGGCAGGCAGAGCAACAGCAAGGCGCCCGCCCAGTCAGAAAGCGGGGCCGCCCTCGCAAGCAGCCAGAGCCTGAAGAGGGGCCACCGCCGCAGAGGAGTGACAGCGAGGCGACTGAGGATGCTGAGGAGCAGTGGCAGCATAGGCGGCTCCAGAAACAGCAGCCACGGCGGGCGCTGCGCTCCAAGGCGGCAGCTGCTGCCGCGGCAGGAGCGGAGCAGGAGGACCGCCAGCCTGGAGCTGCCACAGCCAAGCGGCGGCAGAACCGGGCTCGGGGCTCCAGAAAAGGACAGGACGCTGTGGCGGCTCTGGCTGCTGCAGCAGCAGCGGCAGCGGCGGCTGATGGTGCCCTTTCTGAAGATGACGTATCAACAGACACGGATGACGAGACCATGGCTGCCGTGGCGCGACGCCGTGCCGCGCGCAAGCGCGCAAGTGGTCGAGTGTCACGCAAGCAGCAGCCACAGGCCAAGCAGGCCAAAGTGGGGCGGGGGCGAGGAAGGCAACAGCAGATTATTGAGCAGCTTGAGGCTGAGGACGAGGATGGAGAGGCAGCAGCCAGTGATCGGCAGGTGAGCAAGGCACCAACCTGTTTGCTGCCACCAGTCTTCCTGCCACAGTACTGTTTTTTCACGGAAGCCACTCTTGTTCCTAAGTTAACACTTACTTACTATGAAAGGGGGAAGATGCTGCTCTGTTGCAGATTGTGGTAGCTGCCAGCGACATCCCCATCGACCCCAACGTAATGTCCCTCAAACAAATCATTCGGTGAGCACCACTGAGATATGCAGCAAAGAGCAACAGCAGAAAGGTGGGCTGGAGTGTTGGCCGCCGTTTCACTATGCTGTCTCAGGCATTAGGCTTCCTATTGCTTCATCTGATCATTGCTGGTACCTGCACTGCAGCTGTGCAACCTCCCGTGACCGTCGCAAGAACGAGGAAGAAAAGCGACGGAAGCAGGAGGAGGAGGGGCAGCAGGACGAGGTGGGGCAGCAGGACCAGCAGGCAGCTGTGGCACCGGCGGGTGCAGCAGAAGGCGCTGCCGAGGGAGGACCCCTGGCAGCCGCCATTGCAAGGCGGCAGCAGGAAGCGGCAGCAGCAGCGGCTGCTGGCGCAACCCCACCTGCTGGTGGCAGCATGTTGGCACCCCAGGTGTGCGCTCGTCACTTGTGGTCTGCTTTTTTTGCCTGTTTCCTGTCCTGCCACCTAGGCGACTTTGTTGCAGGCAGCATTATCTGGGTCTTTTCCACAGCTGCAGTGCAAGCTGACAATTTGCTCCCTTGCTGCAGGTGAAAGTTATTGACGGCCGCATCGTGGTGAACACCGCCTCACTGACAGTTCAGGCGCAGGAGGCGCAGCCGTTCACTCGTGTGGTGACGGGTGAGCAAGGGGACGGATGGCTGGGCTGATTTGCATGTCTGGGAGGCATGTTGCCTAATGCCCCACCCTTTGCCACCATCTGCCCGCCGCCTGCAGAGGATGCGCCCAAGCTGAACAGCCTGACCTACATGAACAAGCTGTCCAACGAGCGCTGGACCCCCGAGGATACCGAGCTGTTCTACAAGGCAAGCTCACAACCTGTGCCCAAGATCCCCAGTGCCGGACGGGCTCAATTTCACGAGCATGTGCCGCAGCGGGTGGTTGCGGCTGCGCTGCCACGCAAGCCCACGCTCACCCACGCTTAAGCTCCCAGTTTGCGCGGCTGCCGGCGCTGCCTGCCTACCCCAACATGCCATCCCTCCTGTCCGCTGCAGGCTCTGAGCCAGTTTGGCACCGACTTCACTCTCATCTCCCACCTCTTCCCTGGCAGGCAGCGCCGCCATCTTAAGAACAAGGTATTTCCACGAGTTTGCCTGCCCACCTGCCTGTTCGGCTAGGCGCATCACTGTGCTGATGCCTCCCTTTTGCAGTTCACTCGGGAGAGCAAGCTGAACCTGGGGCGCATTGATGAGGCGCTTAAAGCCTCAGCCGGCGGCACCGTGGCCAGCTACCAGGTGCAGAACTGGCGCGGCGCTTGTGGTGCAAGGCTTTTGGGTGGTGGAAGGTAGAATGCTGTGGGGCTTGCCGCCGTGTTGTCATGTCATGGCGGATCCCACGCATGGTGCAGGAGATGATTGGCATGCTGCGGGCAAGTGGCATTGGGACTGGTGAGGATGGGGGGGAGGAGGCGGCGCCGGCTGGTGAGCAGCAGCAGCAGCAGCAGCAAGAGCAGCAGCAGCAAGAGCAGCAGCAGCAAGAGCAGCAGCAAGAGCAGCAGCAGCAGCAGCACACGGGGACGGTACTGGCACAGCAGCTGCGAGAAGAGGAGGGTACAGACGCGGCGGAGGTGGCGCCGGAGCGAGAGCTGCTGCATGAGGCCCAGCGGACTCACGAGGGGCACGAGGAGGAGGAGGCATACTTCTACTAGTGACGCTCAAGCCTGGTGCGGGAGGGCGGCGGACCTGCGCCACCACACAGTTGTGCGGTCCGCTCCCGATTTTGCTACACCAATGCTGTACAGAGCCTGTCGCTTCAGAATGCCCAATGTTACCTGTTTCTTTGGGTGATCCCTGAGCCTCACAACCGTCGGGCCGTAGGAACATCCAACGAGGGTGGCAGCTTTCTGCCGCGCATGGTCTGCCGCGCATGGTGGCGCTTCCTTGCGCGCATCACATGCCAGAAACGCTCGAAAGTCACCATCGTCGTTGATCAAGCTAATCCTCGACCTGATGGCCTATCTCTGCAAGCTTAGCGTGGCCCCACCGTCGGCACCCTGGGCGGCCCCCCTCTCGCGGCGGCAGGTGCGTGGTCACTGACATGCTCGGGAGCAGATATCGCTATCGGGAGCAGGGGTGGGCTGGGGGAGACCGCTCTGCGGACGGACTCTCAGCCCTTTCGGCTTGCTCACCCCCGCCTGTTTCTTGCCTCCCTCGACAGCTGCCCATCAGCGGGCGATCTTGCCCGCCGCTCCGAGCCGCCAAGGAGGAGGCGCAGAAGGCGGCGGCAGAGAGTGGTCCGCCGGCGGCGCCGCCGCCCGAACTGCAGCAGCACAAGGCGCTCTCATCGTATGACGATTTTGGTGGCTATGAAGCAGTTATGAAGAAGCTGCAGCATGCGCATTGCCGTGTGGGGTCTGAGCAGGCTCAGGAGACCGGGAAGGCCGCACGAAAAGTTCTGCGCCGCCATGCTGCGTTTGGGGGGCCACCTGTGTGCAGGAGCCATGCCGCAGCTGATGACGGGCGAAATTAGCAATGAAGAAATGGCGGCTGCGCTAGAACAGGGCCTGCGGAAGGGCGGGCAGGCGCCGTCCTGCCTACTGAATCAGGATGCAGGGCTGAAAGGCGAGTGGCCGGCTCGCACCTTTGTCAGGCTAGTGCTGTACAGTGGCTGGCAAGCAATTCCCGCTGCCTTCTCGTCCCTCGCCCCACAGCCGTGCCCCCCCACACACAGCCGTGCCCCTCCCCACATGCTTGTGTGCAGCCGAGTATGAGGGTGCCATTGGCGAGTGGACGCAAAGCACTGACGAGAAGATGTGAGGCCTCATCGGCTCCCCCGCTGCAGGACCCACATGACCAACTGTTGCCCTCAAAAGCCTGTGTTGCATGGGCAATCAGACGTTGTCTGGCCCGTCTGATCCGGCCGGTTTCCTGTGCCTGACCATGCGCCTCTCCATGCCTGTCCATGCGCTGCAGGTCCAGCCACGAGCAGGTGCTGGAGAGCGTGGACGGCATGGTAGGCAACTACGAGTTTGAAGTCGTTGAGAAGCGCAAGGAGCTGCAGGTGTGCTGGTTAATGTTAGTCGTGCCCATTGATGCTGGGTATCTGAGAGACAAAGCTGCACACGAGCCCTGCATCTCCTGTGGTGCTTCGCTCACCGGTGCTAAGCGGTGAATTAAGCATTTAAGACCTATCGTAACCCGGTTTCCCGCTTTTAATGGTTGCCCTGCCGACCCCTTTGCTGCTGTGGTTGCAGGAGGCAGCTGATGATTACACTCGCATCTTGGCTGAGCTTCAGGAGCTGGAGACGGCTGCCGGCATCGGTGGCAGGTCGGCAGCCGGGGGCGGCGCCGCCAGCAGTGCAGACGTGGGGGAGGGTGCCGGAGTGGAGGAAATTGAGTGAGTGAGACAATCGAGTTGGTTGCAGCGTGCCAAGAAGGTGTACATTGCACCCGCCCCCCACACATTGTTCAGGGGATCTGTCGCTTCTCCGCTCGTCCACATTTGCTTGAATTGCCTTTTTTCTTACAGGGCTTATGTCCAGCCCGCTTAGTTTTGTTCCTACTTGAGCTCTGAATGTTTGCCTGTTGAACAGCATACTGCACACGCACTGAATGTTTGCCTGATGAACAGCGTACTGACTGCACATGCACTCTGAATGTCCCGAAGCTCCTGTCAGCCCCCTTGTGTAATATGCATCTGTAGAGGGAGGGGTGGGGGTGGGGGTTGGTGCTCGATACTGAAGCGGCGCTGCGACGTAGCCATCCATGTCATGCGCCCGAAGCGTGCACACAGCGCGCGCGGCTGCCCCAGAGGGCTGCAGGCCTTGCTCACATTGTCTGTTTTGTTTCCGAGTCTCTTTGACAGCGGTGCACCTAGGACAATGAAGGCGCTCTGGCTGCTGCTGGTGGCAGCGGCGGCGGTTGTGCCGGCCGGTGAGCATCCCCACCTTGGACAGCCAGCACTGCAGCTCTGGTCCTACACCAAGACAGCCCACATGCCTGGTGCCTGCAGCGAGGGCCCAGGACGCCGCCTGCACCCCGCTGCCGCCTCGGGACGCATACCAGAACCCCAGGAGCCCCAATGGCGTCACTTCGCCCGCGCTGCTGGATACGCTGGTCAAGGTGGGTACAGCGGTGCCATCAAGGTGCCCCGTCAAGGTGGGTGCAGCTTTGCGGTGCCCGTCAAGGTGCACCTGCACTTGTAGTTGTGCAGGTACAACTACAAATCTTTCACAAATCGGCAAACACAACCAGGAGCAAACACAACCATTTGTGTGTTCTGTATGCCACTTCAGGAAGTTGACACGGCTCGCGTTTTCCAAGACTCCAAGACTATAGTCGACATGCCCCTGAAAGCGCCGCCAGCGGAGGTTGCCGCCGCATTCAACCAGATCCAACTGCCAAACGATGCGCAGGCCAGGAACCAGACGCTGTTCGACTTTGTACAGCAGGTGATGGTGTGCCGCCTGCTGTCGGCAATGGGATCCAATGATCCATCTTAGACATGGGTTCCCCAAGCATTGCAGTGGCTAAGCCCTCCGGGCAGTGAACTGGTTCCCACTGCAACCAACTTCACCGAGCAGCCACCGCCCGAATGGTTTGACGTGAGCTGCGTGGTCCATTGAAAAACAGCTGCTCTGCCCGATCCGCGTCATCCCGGAGATGTGTGCAGCGGCTTGTGGCAGCGGAGTTGGTGTTCCTACCATATGTGCCTTCGCTGCGCCGTGCAGACCCCCAGATCCGCGACTGGGCATACGCTCTCTACGAGGTGGGCTGGCAGCAGGCAGCGGGCTGGCCGGGCCGGGTGCAGGCAGCGGCAGGCTGCAGGGAGGGCGAGGAGCCATGGAGCTTTGCCTCTGAGTGCCTGCTGGCCTCCCTTGCCTTGACAATCAGACCTCGCTTCTTGCTCCGCAGATCTGGGGCAGGTTGGCGAGGCAGCTGTCGCCCGAGGTGTCCCAGAACCCCGAGCTGTACACGATGCTACCGGTGCCTAACCCCTTTGTCGTGCCTGGCGCGCGCTTCAGGGAGGTGGGTGGGTCATGAGCAAGAGCAACTTGCTGGTGCTGTGTGCATGTCTTGTCCCAAGGGACGCCGACGCCTGCACATGACGTGACATAATGATCAGCAACATTGTTAACATCAACAACCTGCAGTGCCTCCTGCTTGCCTGCGCGTGCGCCGCCGCCCCCCCTCACACACGATTACATAGATCTACTACTGGGACTCGTTCTGGGTGCTCAAGGGCCTCATCGCCTCCAATCTCACCACCCTGGCTCAGGCACGAGATGCATGCTGCCAGCTGCCAGGATCCTGTCCCCAAGCAGCCTCTCCATTGTCTTGTGCCCCAGCCTCTCAGTCCACCGCCGCTCTTGTGTGCAGGACATAGTGGGCAACTTCATCGACCTCATGCGCAATTATGGCCATATACCCAATGGTGAGAATATCCCCAACGGCGAGCAACCGTATTGCACGCCAGCGCGGTCCATCCCCTGTGCGCCTGCCCGACTCGAATGCAGGCATCAGAACATACTACTTGAACAGGTCACAACCCCCTCTGTTCAGCGAGATGGTCCGAATTGTGTGGGAAGCCACCGGCAACAGAGCCCTGCTCAGGTTTGTCCTCGCTGCCGTGGGTGTCCCAGCCATTTTTAGCTCTCAGTTGACGCTGCACCCCGCCTCACTTTGCTCTTCTCCTGTGCAGCGACGCGATGCCGGCCCTACTGCGAGAGCATGCCTTTTGGACATCCCCCCCAAAGCAGGCCAGACCCTGCTGCCTGCCAGGCTGCACCACCCGGCCTTGCATCCTTCATTCCAGCCATGCAACACTGCTCTTGCTGCCTCTGCAGGTCGTGGCCGTGGCTGGTGATGGCAAGCAGTACAACGTGTCCCGCTACTTTGCGAACTGGCAGCAGCCCCGCCCGGAGAGCTACATGTGCGCATGTCTGCTTTTCAGCTGCCATTTGTGACAGCCCACACGGGTTGCTGGTGCCGGAAAGCTCGAACAATGCATTGCCTAATCTGGAGCCACTTGTGGCTACAGTGAGGATGTGGAGACGGTGCGCCAGGCAGGCCTTAACCCTGACAGCCCCGACGACCCCGCTGTGCGCCAATTGTACCAGGACCTGGCTTCTGGGGCCGAGTCTGGTGCGGCCAGCTGCCTGCGTCTCCGCCTGTCGTGCACTGCTCGACCACATGAGAAGGCGGAAACATGGCCACAACTCTACTCCAATCCTTGTCCCGCAGGATGGGACTTCTCCACCCGCTGGTTCCGAGATGGCAGAAGTTTGGCCACCGTGCGTACCACAAGCATTCTCCCAGCGGGTGCGTACCTACTGGAAAGTTGCCAGATGGGTGGAGGTGGCTGAGAGAGAGGGCGACTGAACGCCCCCAGCTTGCCCTGCCCTCCTGCCCTCCTGCAGACCTGAATGGCTTCCTCCTGCAGATGGAAGCCAACATTGCCGACTTCGCTGCTGAGCTGGGGTGCAGCGAGGTGGAGCAGCAGTTCCGTCAGCTGGCAATGGACAGGTGGGGGCGGGTGCTGGCACAACATGGTGGGGACGACAGGACAATCCGCCATCGACACAGAGCCGTGCCCACCTCGAAACTAGTCTTCACCCCTATGCAGACGCGATGCACTGAACACCCTGTTCTGGAACAACAGCACCGCCCAGTGGCACGACCTGATCTGCAACCCACAGCAGGGCGAAGGCACCGCTGCCGGGACGTCTGCTCCCACGGGGCAGGGTGAGCAGGCGCAGCAGCCTTTCGATTTCCTGCGATGCAGCTGTAAGAGTTGCCTTGCTCATGTCGCTGCGGCACCTCTGCTGCCTGCATCTGCAGTTGAACTTTTGTCTCAACTGCCTGCATCTGCAGTTGAACTTTTGTGCAAAGTTGAATATAACAAAGCAATCTTTGCGTCAAATTTTATACCGCTGTTTGCTGGTGCTGCCGGCCCTGGCAGCGAGCAGGCAAGCGGCCGCAGCTGGGTTGGTTGTACGCACAGCCTGTCTGTTTCAGCCTGGTTGGCACTCTGGATCCATGCCACACATTAAACGTCTCCTTTTTTTTGCGGCCAGGCCCAGGCTGCCCTGCAGGCTCTCAATGCATCTGGCCTGATCGGGGTTGGGGGCGTTGCCGTGTCGCTGACAGAGTCGGGGTGAGTGCAACTGCCAGCTGGAAGCCATGTTTCATCGAGAATTACTTGTCCAGCATTAGCGTCGTGTGATTCACTGTGCAGGCAACAGTGGGACTGGCCCAACGTGTGGCCACCTATAACCTCCATGCTGATAGATGGGGCAGACAAGTTTGGCGGGGAGTTGGGAGCTGTCTTATCGCGCCAGGTACTTCTTGTCAGGAACTTCTGGTCAGGGACTATCTTGCTACAATGCTCAACTTCAGTTGGCTGCTTTTGCTGCCCTGCAGTTGACTGCCAGCTACCTGGGGACCGTCTTGGCTACTTGGGAGGACACTGGGCGCATGTTTGAAAAGTTTAATGTGGAAACTTTAGGTGTTCCTGGAGGTATGGTTGATGTCTGGGGGCGATTCCAACGCCGCCCATTAGGCTTTGCTGCTGGACAGGAATCTATGACGCTCGTGGTGGTGCCTTGCATTGGGTGTCGCATCCCACCTGGCTGGTCGTAACTTGGCTTGTGTGTGTGTGCATCTGACTGAAGGTGGCGGCGAGTATGAAGTTGTCGATGGTTTTGGGTGGACTAATGGTGTGGTATTGGATCTTCTTAACCGCTTTGGTGGGGAGTGAGACCGGGTCTTCACGGCGGCCTCCTTGGGGCTCCGTTGCCATGCCAAGCTTGTTTGTTCATTTTGTGCAGCAAGACCAACACGATTCACCTAGCAATACATACATGCATGGGCAAAGCCTGTATTTTGCTTGCGCCTTGTACAGTTGTGTAACAGGAGGCCTGCCCGGCGCCATGCATGAACTGCGCTTGACAGTTCGGTTAGCGTGCATCCCGCTCTCTAGTCGTGGATGGACATAGTCATAAGAAGCCGTGGAGGGAGGGCGGTTCCTCACCGGCTCCCTTGGTTTTATGTCTGCCCAGTTTAACGCGTTATGGATGATACAAAACGAAGTAATGGTGCGTAAAAGCTGTACACCTGAAAATAAAGTAGAACAACAACAAAGATGAGGCAAGTCGCCAATACCCCTAGTGTGCCTCTGCCTCCACCGCCATCAATGCTGCCGTGGAGCGGGAGCCCAGGTCCGCCGCTTTCTTTTGCTGCATCAACAGCGAGCGCATAAAAGGCGCGCTTAGCACCGGAGAAGCATGCATTCCAGAAAGGCTGCCAAGGGCAGGCGAGGCCAGATTTGGCAGTCCACCCAAGCAGCTCTTCTTGGCAGGTCATGCAAGCAGCCCTTGCTGCTGCATAGCACCGGCGGGACTTACTTGCACAAGATACCAGCTCACGGCCGCCAGCAGCAGGAAGGCGCCGCCCCACTGGAGAGGCCCCACCAGGCCCTCGTTCAGCAGCGGGTAGGAAGCAGCCAGGGAGCCCAGCAGGCGCACTGCAGGGCAGGGCAAGCAGAACAGGCAGCATGCCCTGGTGGCCTCAGCAACTTGGCAACACCCAACAATAGAATCAACCACATTGGAGTAGATCTGATCTGACACACTGCAATGAGCCCATGCGAGCTGCAAAAGAGGCCTTGCGCTCACCTGGCAGAAAGGCGGCAGCTTGGGGTGCCCCAAGATTCCGGATGCACATCTGCAACATATTCGCAGCAGCCCCAGCAGGCGGCAAGGCAATCACCAGCGAACCACGCCAGGTGTTCATCACAAGACTCGCGGCAATCCGCAGGTGTCCGGGCCAGCAGCGCATGCCGACTGCGCTGACGAGCGACAGACAAAAGCAGCAGCGGACGCACCAGGCTCAGCCCCAGTTCGTTTTCCCACCTGCTGGATCCAATTCGCAAACCAGTTGACTCCGGCTGCCATGGCGAAGACCTCCGCATACTCCACCAAGCCCAGGTGCAGCAGCATGGGAAACTTGTCGTGCTCGAGAACGAATGTGAGGGTGAAGCAGATGGGCAGTTGGGTCAGGAAGTTGCACCACAGCACCGTCTGGTCGCTCACCACACCACGAGCCCTCTGCAGGGCGAGGAGTGCATGGCAGGGTGGAGGGGGGACAGGTGCAACGAGTCAGGTAGAGATGCTACAAACAAGGGCGGTTAGTGCAAGTCACATCGGGACACCAGCCAGATTGCCATGTGCGCCAGCTGTTTCTGTGCACACCGTTAAATGAACACCGATGGGCACTCCTCATGCACCGGCTGCTCAGGAATCCTGCTGCACTCCTGCCCACCTGCACTGTGGTCATGAAGGAAGCCAGGCCGAGGGCGCCAAGGAAGGAGAGACCGATGCCCAGCGCGTCGCGAGCGCCCAACCCGCCCTTATCGTGCTTTGGCTTCTTCTTTTTCCAGTTCTTGGCCTTCTTGCCCACACTGTTTCCAGTGCCGCTGCCGACATCGCCATCGCCTTCAGTGGTCTCCTTTTCGGCTTCCAAGTTGCACAGCCAGGAGCCGCGCTCCTCGCCAAAGATGGCGATGCACAGCCACGCCTCTTCTGCCCGGTCTGCCCACAGGGTCATGCCTGCTCCTGCAGGCAGTCCAGGGCTGCTTCCAGCAAGCGCGGCGTTCTTGGGGTGGCTGCCAGCCGCCATCGCCTTGCTGCCAATTACCATGCTGCAGCCCAGCAGCATGAGGGCCAGCGCAGGCCAGAGGCCGGGTGGCAGTGGCGACCTGCAGGCGGTACAGTCATGATGGTTGTCAGAAACGTAGCAAGCATAGCCCCGCAACTCGCATTCCAGCATCGAAGAACGGACAGGCGCAACAGCCCGGCACAGGACGTGGTGTTTGGCACGCACATCCTGGGCTACAGGCAGCAAATCTCACTTGAACAGTGCCTTTGCCAAGAAGGCCACAATCACAGGTGCCAGAAGGAACACCATCTGGCTCAAATAGGCCTGCCAGTTGGTCAGCCAGGTGGGCGGGAAGGCAAGGTGAGAGCAGGCAGGCAGGGATGCGACCGGGGGATTCAGCCACACGGCTGGTCCTGGCAAGGCACATGCACGCCGCCGTCCCAGCTGGCGAAGCATCAGGTTGGCGCACCGTTGTGAACAGCAGGGAGAAGACTTGGCAAAGGAAGAGGGAGCTGAGGAAAAAGGTGGTGAGCATGAGCACTTTCCAGGCCGCTGGAGGGGGGGGCTCGCTGGAGAACACTGTCAGCTCATCACCAAAGGAGGCGTGATGGGGCAGCACCCCATTGGGAGCGGGTGGGTCGCTGATCACTGTTGGTTCGTCCGCAAAGGTGACATGGTTGGGCAGCACCCCATTGGGGGCGGGTGGGGCGCTGGGGGCGGCCTCCACATCTCCATGCACCTCCTCCTCGGCGGGGCCCAGCAGTGGCTCTGCCAGGGCAGAATCCTGGACTCCCGCATAACGAGGGGGTTTGCCGTTGCTGAATGCCCCTGCTGCTGGTTTTGCTACAGAGCCGTTTGCCTGCTGTGCCGGCGCCCTCTCTGATGGCGATGTGCCCGGCCTGCGGCAACACTTCTTGTGGAGCCACATTGGCAGCGTGTTGCCAAAGAACAGCGCGGGACATGCCAGGGGGTTTATCATAAGACTGCAGCCACCCGGAGGGGAAGGGGTTGGGGGTTGAGCTGCCGCAAGGGGTTGGGGGTTCAGCCGCTAAGCATGCGGCCAGCAAAATGGTGCAAGAGGCCGGTGCAACCGAGCTGCAAGCCGGTTAAAGGGTACTTTGGCCTTGTTTGCATGTAACGCACTGCTGCTGGAAATGTGCCCCATAGAAACTGCAGGGGGCATGGGCAAAGAGCGGGGAATTGGCTTGAAAGGGGGGTGGCGCCCCCCTGCCCCCGCCGCCACATCTAGGGGAAACCTTAGGGTTGGCCAGCGAGGGGGGGCCGGGTTCCCGCGGCAGGGGGCTGCTCCCACGAAGTTCGCTGGGGGGAAGTTGGCACTTGGCGGGCCCCCGCGATGCCCAGCCAAACCAGTGGACTGGTGGATGAGGCCATGACCACCCTCTCTGGCACCAGCTTTTTCCAGCAGATACCGCAAAGGGATGTGAGCACTGCGCCAGCCTTCTATGTGAGGACTTATCGTGAGGTTCAGAGGCAGGCCCCAACTCAGCAGAGCCCTCTTTGCGACATCCAAATTTCAACTTGCTCCTTAAAGGAAAGGATGCCTTAAAGGAAGGAACGCAAATCAAGAGCGCCAGGGCTCCTTCATGCCAGCCTGCCGGCCACGTCCTGTTACTGCGGCATCCATGGTAGCCCGCCTGCCCCCGGCGTGTCCACGATGCCACCCAGCCCAATGCGCCAGAAGTCTAGTAAGCAGGTGACCAGCATGCCGGCGGCCAGCGCATCCACTACGGCACGCCACAGCGTGTACGGCTTGGCCTGCGGCAAAGGCGAGGGATGAGCTCGATGCACGCCCATACGAGCTTCCGCTCTGCACCTCATTGCACCCTTCCACCCACCCGCAGCGCTTCATCCATGCGGTAAAACATAGGGAAGGAGACGAAGAAGTAAATGGCATAGAACAGGCTCCCCACGGAGTACATGCGGGAGCGGTCCTGTGGTCAACGAGGGGACGGACCCAGCAGTAAGCGCGGCCAATGCCGGCCCGCAGCAATCGTGGCCAAGCTAGCAACACAGCGAACCTTGAAGCTGTAGTACGGGAAATGGGCGATGGTGAGGGTCTCGCCATAGGCAGTGGCATACGCCAGCAAAAACACAAGGACGCCCTCTGCCACCGCCTGCACAAAGTGAAGACATGCCCAGCAGCCAAACAAGTGGCGACACGCAAGCAGAGGCCCAGCTGCAAAGCTGCACAGAAGCAACGCCTGGGCCGCAGTGACCCAAGTCAGCACAAGCTCAGCGCTGTCGTGCACCATCCCATCGGCTGCCCACCTGTGCCGCTGCACCATAGGTGGCCACAGCGTGCCGCGTGCGGCGGATAAGGACATTAGCGAGGGCGTGGTAGAGGCAGAAGTATGCATGGGTCATGAAGTAGAGTGTGATGGGCACCTGCAGCAAGGCATTGCATGCGCGCCATACTTGTGCGGGCATGTCTGGAGCCATCCAGACGTGGGAAGTTGGCTGGCGGCCGGCTGTTGGGCCCAAAGCCCAGCCCATACACCAGGTTCCCTGTGCAGACAGCTTGCCTGGTTGAGGTTGTGTGCAGGGAAGGTGTAGGTGGCACCCAGCACGCGGTAAAAGTAGTGGGTCCAGAAGTAGTTGCCGATGAAGCTGAACACAGCGATCCAGGCGTTGGCTTTCACCCAATACCGCTGCGACAGCGGCTTCTCACGCTCCGCCACCGGTTGCAGCAGCAGCGGCAGCAGCGCACAGGGCAGCGCTGCAATCAGGCCCAGGCTCATGTAGCCCCATTTGCCCAGGCGCTGCAGAGACAGAGGGTGCGCGGTGTGTGGCGTCAGTAAGCAGGCCGTGCAGCAGAAGGAGCAGGCCAGACGTAATAGCCGACTCTGGGCTTGCCCCGACATTTGTTGTCAGTTGGCACGCAGCAGCACAGGCACCTCCCGCTACAGCGCATCTGCGCAGGATGGATGCAGTAGCGGCACCCGCCCTGTCCCTCCACCCAACTGCCCCTCACCTCATAAATTTTGAAAGGCACCAGGATGCAGAGGCACCATATGATCCAGGAGGGGCTGTAGGCCAGGAAGAAGAGCTCTGTCCAGCGCTTGCCAGGGCTGGGCGCTAGCCAGGGGCTCAGCCGCCTGCCTCCGCTGCCGCCAGTGCTGGCGGCGGCGCCGCGGCGCTGGGCGGCGGTCGCCATGCCCGTATCGCTGCTGTACCAATCCCCTGCTATCGATTGTGCCCCCAATGGAGAGCCGAGAACCGCGTGATGAGGCGGCTCGCCTTGAGGGATGGGTGGCAGCGCGGGGGTGTTCACAGGAGGTGGACCAGCACAGGTGCCAGCGCCGAGGAAAGACCGCAAGCTGCAACGAATGAGATCGTTGCCATCATGTTCTCCGCCAGCTGGGTCCAACACGGACTCGACTAACAGCGACAATCAACGCTGTCCCTTGATTTAATAGCATCCTCACCATCATGCAGCACTCAGGCAAAGCCCGGCAGCATTCAACAACCCGTCAAGGTAGCCCTTCAACAACGACCCCAACTGCAGCTGCCCGGCAGTGGACTCTGAACGCCACCAGCATCAGCAGCAGGCACAGAAGTTGCACCACCTCGTTGGACGAGGTGCGCCTGCTGCAGGCTGCAAGATATGAGCACGGCGAGACGACAGCGACGGCCCACTCAGAGTACGCCCGCCGTTTGGCCTCCTCTTGTCGCCGCCACCGCCGGCGGCGCCCGCCGCCACGTGCAGCGCCCTCTTTCTGTGCCGATCGCTGGGCTGTCTCTTGCTGGCAGGTTGTCAATGAGACGGCAGATGTTGCTGAGCAGACCCTTGATCGGCTCTACCACCAGGGGCAGCAGATCCAGCACGCCGCCCACGGCATTGAGCAGGTGGGTCATTGTGGGTGGGCCGCGTTTGAGCACGCACGTGCCGGGCATGCTGGGCAGCCAGATGCTGCGGCCCAACCCCCTCATGCACCCTTCCCCACGCACAGATTGACGAGAACGTGCAGCATTCCCGGCGCATCATCACCTTCATGAGCCGCTTCTGCTGCTTCCGCTCCGACACCAGCGACCCTGACATTGAGCTGGAGCGGCACTGGCGAACCAACACGGTGGAGCGGTGGGTGCTGTATCTCCACCAGGGCAGGAATGACTTGGGTGATGAGAGGGTCGAAAGCAAGGTTTCATCGACGCCCGCATGTGCGCGCAGGCAGAGCATGGCAAGAGTGGTGGCAGCAGATTGTGTTGAAGAGGAGTATGCTGCCAAGCGCCGCCTGGTGGGCGCCGTGCTCGCCAAGAGCTTGGCAGCTGCGGGGCCAGCCGCAGTTGCAGCAGCAGCAAGCACGGCGGCAGATGCGGTGGCAGCGGGCAAGGAGCCCTGGAGCGAGCTCATTGCTGCCGTGCCGGGGCCTCTGGGCAGGGAGCGGGCGAGGCGGCGCAGCTCGATGCCTATGCTGGGGCATGGTATAGAAGGTGGGCTCCTGGCTGCCACTGCACAGTCTTGCATTCAACATTGCTGATGCTGCCTTGAACCCTCTGCTCGGTGGACATATGGCATCAAAGCCAGCCCTCCCATTGCGTGCCTGACGCTTTGCAGAGCGTGAACTGGCGCAGCTGCAGGCTGAGACGGCAAAGCAGGATTGCTACTTGGATGGGATTGACAGTGCCATGGATAAGCTGCATGCCATGGGCCTGGTGAGTGCACAGGCGGAGGGGGTGTTGGTCTAGGGTTTAGGGAACCCTAATAAAACCCTAATACCTGCACTAGCTCATGCCCACCTGATGCTTCTGTTGCATCTGACGTTTACTGCTGCTCTCCTTGTGTTGCCACCCGCACGCCCCTGCCTCTGCAGGCAATCGGGCAGGAGCTCGATGAGCAGGCTCCCAACCTGGATGCGCTGCAGCACCGGGTGGAGGACACGGGAGAGGGCCTGCGCAGCGTGGCCTCTGGGGCAGCAAAGCTGGCTGGAAGCGCACCGCGCCGCGGCACCAGCGCCAGCAGCTGGCACGGGGAGCGTGACGCGGCCACGCAGGTGGTGTCGAGGGCGATGGCGGACACTGCGCCACTGGTGGCCCGCTACAGCATGCAGTGAACGGTTCATCAACTTGCTGCCCAACTTGGGTCAAATGCTGATAACTGCAGTTTTGCTACCTGTCCATCAGAGCGCTGAAAATTCAGTGTTGACGCAGCGGTAACTCCTCCTCTAGCTAGCTACTTCATCTGCACTTGCCACTCTTCCATTTGAATGGACCTGACCTATCTTCTTGCTTATCAATCGAGAGCTTGTACAGACTGCTGACTTCGAGCGATGTCACCGCTGCAGCTGGCGTCAACGGAGGCGGGTGGCGCGGCAGCCCACCACGGCACTTGTCCACTATCAGCAGCTCCTCTGCTTTATCGATGCAGCGGCAAGTGGCCAGACACACCTGGGGTCGAAACGGGCTTGCAAGCCAAAATGGCATGCCCAAAATTGCCGAGTGGATCGAGAGAGTTTGTCAACGCGGCCGAGATCCTCTTCGCTCCTCGAGTTTCAGGTATTTTCACACGTTGCCAGCGCCGGGCAGACTGTAAGCGGCCAATAGCAACTGCCAATAGCAACTGGAATGATCGAGGAGCGCGGCCGGCAGGAGGTCCCCGACACTCCCTACCTCTCCCGAGAGGACCGCCAGCTGCTTGAGCTGGGCAAAGCAGAGCACCGCGAGACGACAGCGACGGCCCGCCGGGCACTCAGCGTAAGCCCGCCCTTTGGCCTCCAAGAAATTGTTGCCGCCGCCCCGCCTGCCGCAGCCGCCTACCACCAGTGCAGCTTTGTGAATGCCTCGACTTCAAAGCCTGTCTCAAGTTGCAGGTGGCGGAGAAGACCAACGATGTCGCACGCAACACGCTTGCGGAGATGCACCGCCAGGGGCAGCAGCTGGAGCGGGCAGACTTGGGAATGCAGCAGGTGCCACCGAGAAACCGGGCCGCCTTGAAACCGGCAGCTGGCGGCTCCTCGCTGCTGCGCTCACGTTTTCCTTGGGTGTTATGCAGGTGAAAGAAGAGGTGAAGGAGGCGTCCGCCATTTTGAGCTTCATGCGCCGATGGTGCTGCTTCCAATGCTGCTGCTGCTATGACCCCACAGCCGACCACGACCGCACCCGACACTCGCGTGTGGCTGCGTAAGTGCTGGCGCTAAGCAAATGTTGCGCGGGCTGAGTCCACGCTTGGTGGGCCTATGTGCCGTGCATGGCTATCAGCAGTGGCCTCCTGACATGCCCAAAGGCACCGGCCCTTGGCCTGTCCTCAGCCCTGCCGCTGTGTTGCGCTACTGCAGTGCGCGGCGGGACCTGGCATACCAGCAGGACAACGTGGGGCTGCAGTATGCAGCCAAGCAGGAGGCAATTGGACGAAAAGCGCGGCAGCACGACCCCGCTTATGGCAATAATGTAGGACCTTGCTGACTACGAAGGGCTACCGTTTCCCATCCACCCTCTGCCACCCGGATCAGCTTGTTGCTATGTATCCCTTGCAGGAGCCAGCCGCACGGCACGAGCTGTTTGCACAGGCGGGCGCCATCCGGGCCGCCCGGCAGGGCCCGCCAACGACTGACATTGGGTTCGGACTGCCAGGTGAGGAGGTGGGCAGGCACTGGTGGCTTCTGTGTCTTGTTGTCATGCCGACACCTGCGTCCTCACTGCGACTGCAGCTGCTGACCGACACGAGATACAGCAGGAGACGGAGCAGCAGGACAAGCTGATACAGCGCATTGAAAATGCTGTGGAGTCGCTGCACACGCTGAGCACGGTAAGAGGGCGATGCGAGAGTGGTGAAGGGGATGAATTGCATGGGCCGGCCGCTGAATGCAGAACACGCTGCCCGCTTCTTCCAACCCTCACCCTATCGCCATCTGTCTCTGAATCATGCTGTTGCTACAATTGCCACAGGAGATGCACGGGGAGATGACAGAGCAGCAGCCGCGCATCGACCGCCTGCAGGACCGCACTGCAAGGGCACATGATGAGCTCGGCACGATGATGCGCGAAGCACAGAGGTTATGATGCTATCATAGCATGATGTTGCTCTGTTATAGAAGCGTTGCCTTGCCAATGCTCATGGCTACAAGAACATGATGACCTGTCGTGTTCATCCAACTGCATGCAAATTTCCTAGCACCATTGAGCTGGATCTGCCGCTTGCAAGCTGTACGAGGGTTCAACAAAAGGCAAACCAACAGGCGGAGACAACAAACGGAAAAAAAGGAGATAGGACCGCGCTAGCCCAGCAGCGGAAGCGTCAGCTGCACGAGCAGCCAGGCTGCATAGCCCGCGAGCATCAGCTCTGCAGCGCTGCCGATGGCGTTGGGACGGCGCTGTAGCAGCAGGTCCCGCTCCACCGCTGCATCACCGTCAGCGGCCCCTGGCTCATGCCCCTGCTGACCCTCCTGCTGGCGCCGCTGCTGACCCTCCTGCTGGCGCCGCTGCTTGCGTGCGAGCTGCCACGCATGGTCCTCCTGCCCCTCCAACCGATGTATCACGATGGCTGGAAGCCCGTACGCCAGTACGACCACCAGCCAAAAGTGGACCCCCAGGCAGGCGCCCTCGCTGCCGCTCAAGCGCCTGCTCGTCGCAGTTGCAGGTGCCCCCACAGATGCTAGCATGGGCCCAACAGGCAGCCAGGAGGCGCATCGCTGCATGGCTGAGGCAATGTGCTGCAAGTGACGAGCTGCCTCGAGGCTTGCCGCCAGCTGATTGGTGCAGTGCGCACGGCCCACCCAAAACACCGGCGCCAGCAGCAGCGGCTGCGTCCATAAGAAGGTGCGCAAGCGGGTGCGCTGGAGGCATGCGCCAAAGGCCTGCAACACAGAGCGACCCGCAGCGGAGCAGGAGTGAGGCAAGTGTGACCACCAAGAAAGCATTGCAGGCAGCTTTGGCTGATCTCTACACAACGGGCGGCACAGATGCGGTCTGACGCCCCCCCACTCCCACACACCAAGTACAGCCAAGGTTGGCAGAACGTGGCCAGGAAGACGGGCAGCATATTCCGTGCCCAACCGGGCGTGGCCTGCACACATAACAGGGCAGGCGGGCGGATTTGCTGGCTTCTGCTGCCCCCAAGCCGGCAGGCAAAGGCGGCAATCGCAGAGAAGCACAGCCAGCAGGCAAGACTCGCCAGCAGTGGCTGCGCCTCTGGAGGCAGCGCAAAGCGCAGCCCAATCCAATGTTGCAGCGCGAGGTGCATGGGGACCAGCCACTCTCGCCAGCGGGTGTAGGAGGAGCCAGAAGCCAGCCCCAGCACTAACGGCCACAGACATAGCACAGCCGCACCCTGCAATCACTCGCACCAGGACAGGCAAGGTGAGCAGGCAGCCAAGAACTGGCAGGGGTGTGTGGAACAGCAGGGGCGAGTTTAGACAAGAGGGCACAATGATGCCAACTCTTTGAATTCAACAGGTGCCGAAGGCCCTGACTGGCTTACCAACGCCAGCAGCGCCTCGGTTGCGGTAGACCCCAAGGCCGGTGTGTCCATGCGGCTAAGCTTCCAGCAAACAGCCATCCAGCTGGTAAACCCCACCAGTGCCACAGTGGCGTCGCGGCTGCATACACACAAAAGGACAGCAATGGGGGTTGTCAGGAACAGCGCAGGGCGGCAGAGGGCGGGACGGGGTGAATGAGTGGGCTGGGGTTTGTGGGGCGTGGTCCACAACCCCAGCACCCCTGCAGCGCCTGCGCCTTTGCTGGCAGCGAGCTTCGCGCCCCTCACCGCTGCTGGGGGCCAGCCAGCTTGAGCCAAACGAAGGGCATGCTCCCCGCCGGCGTCTGAGCGATAAACAAACAATGTCGGTCGCAAACACCAGAACAAGGCTCCTTTAACGGGGTTTCAGCGCATGCTCTGTACTTCATGAACACGTCCCGCCTCGCGCCGCCCGTATTCGAGAGGCTGATCCATGGACCTTCGCCTCGCCCATTGAGCACCCTGGGAGGCACAGGCGACCCGCCATGGACCCAAACTTGGCAGGCCAATGGCTGCAGCAGTCGTTTTCGTGGGACCCCTCAGCCCTGGAGGCCCGCCCCGCAAAGGCGGTGCCAGCCCGTAAGGCGGCCGGCGCCGCCGTTTGCCAGGTGAGCGCGGGGGTCAGAGGCGCCCCTCCCGCGCCGGCCGGTGCGTCCAGGGCAAGGGTTAGAGGGGACCATCTAACAACTCGTGTCTCCCGCGCACGTGTCCTGCCTTGCAGGTTGAGGGCTGTGGCGTCGACCTCACAGGCCTCAGAAACTTTTTCCGGAAGCAGCGGATCTGTGGTGGGTTCCCGATTGCCGCTTTGTCGGGCACTCTGCCTGCCGCCGCCCGCAAGCGTCAAGTTGGCAGCGCAAGTCCCCCCATGGCCCCCCTGCACCCTGTGCCATGCAGAACTGCACGCCCGCGCCGACGTGGTAACCGACACTGCTGGCCGCCAGCTGCGCTTCTGCCAGCAATGCACTCGCCTGGAACCGCTGATCAACTTCAATGCCGGCCGGCGCAGCTGCAAGACCAGCCTGGCTAAGCGGCAGGCGCGTGCACACCGCGGCAAAGCGCACAGCAGCCCCGACAGCAGTCCTGAGCGGGGTGGTGCGCCCGCCTCAGGCCTCGGCAGCAGCTCCAGCGAAGGGGAGGGCAGTCTAAACGCCAGCAGCGGCAAGGGCAGCAGCCGTCGCTCCGGCGGCGCCGTGCTGACCTCCAAGCGCAGCCGCGGTAGCCCACCGTTCAGCGGCGCCGCCTCGCCAGGCTTGGCAGCCATGACCAGCAACGAAAGCTCGCGCCTGGCCTCCCCCGGCCGCTACCCAGCACGTCTGCAGCAGGGCATGCCGGCGCAGGGCCAGCCGCAGCCACAGCGCCTGCTGCCATTGCCGCTGCAGCAGGGGCCGGAGGAGATGCTGTGGAGCAGCTCGCTGTGTGAGAATGACATTGAAGAGCTTTTGGCGCTGGACCCAGGTGGGTTGGGGTGGGTTGGGTGAACTGTTGCGTTGAATGCCAGCTCAGCTGCCATGCACGGGCAGCCTGCCGTCGTGACTGCCTCAGTCTGGCTGCTCGTGGCAGGCACGTTACAGGTGCTGGCTTCATCCTCGCAGCACTCTCAGCCCAACACCCCATGCACCTGTTGCAGAGGCGCTGGCGGATGCCCTGCTGGTGCCATCTGGCATCCATGCCCGCAAGATGAAAGACACACATTGCAACAACGGCATGTCCCAGTCGCAGCCAGCCTCTGGCCCCAGCACAGCACAGCCGCAGCGCACAGGGCCCCCACCACCTACCAGCCAGCCGATGCCTTGGGGCATGATGCCCACGGGGCAGGCGCCATCAGGCGCTCGCTCAGCATTTGGTGGCACCCCTCCTGCAGTCGGCGCGGCTCTGTTTGGTGCTGCGCCCGCTTCCACTGGTGACCAGTGGCCAGGGGCAGCTGCTGCCGCCTCAGCTGCTGCCACTGCAACTGCTGCCGCTCCGGTGCCGTTGCCGGCAGCTGGCAGCTATGCTCCTCGACCCCAGCCACCGCCGCAGGCTCCTACTCCTACGCATGAGTGGGCTGCTCAGCCAGAGGCAATACAGGTGGCAGCCATGCAACAGCAGGCGTCAGGTGTGGCGGCTGCAGTGCAGCAGATGTACCCACTGCACGTCATTACCCGCTTCTCGCTCAAGGTGGGTGGGCACCGCACAGCACATGGGCGCTGCAGCTCAGCATTGAGGCGACCTGTCCTGCGTGTAACAGATTCGGCTTTGCTTGCCTGTGCTTGCCTGTTCCCCACCTCGACTGTGTTGCACCCTTGTTGTCCAATCCCTTGCCGTTCAGATTTTTGGCGTCAATCCCGACCACCTGCCTCCCCAGCTGCGCGCCCAGCTTCTGGCGGCGCTGCAAGGTAGGCCTCTCTGCCGGCGCTGCCGGCCTCTTTACCTCGCTCCTGTCGCGAATGTCTGAATTCCCAGAGTCAGTCCCGACCTCTTCTGTGCTTCATGCCGCTCCGGCTGCCGGCCCTCACGCCTGCAGTGTCGCCGACAGTCTTGGAAGGCGCCATCCGCTGCGGCTGCACCCATGTGGTTGTGGACGTGCTGCTGAGCAGCGAAGAGCAGCACCGGCTGGCCACCGCGCCCCGCCTGGCGGCCGCGGTGCAGCACATGCGTCGACCCGACAGCTGGCGCAGCCGTCCTGCACCACCTGCCATTGTGGTGAGCGTGTAGTGCCTGTCGGGGCATGTGGCAGTGTTGGTCGCTGCCTGCCACCCCAACCGGCCCTGTTGCCATTGCTTCTGGTGCTGCAGGCACAGCTGGGACAACTGGTTGCTCTGGGCACGGCTGCCAGCGCGGCCGGCACCAGTGGGGACGTGCCGCTTCCCTGCATCCACATGGGCACATCACAGCTGCTGCCACGCCTGACGCTGGCAGGCCCCGTGGCAACCACCGCCAGCTGCGCCAGCGGCACCTTCCACCTGGCCGCCACCACGGCACCCACCGACGCCGCACACTTCCCGGCTGGCCTTGCTTCCGCGCTGCGCTGCCGCTGCCATGGCAAGCATGTGGGACTGGCAGTGTCGGTGCTGTGCGGCCGCCGTGGCAGCTGCTCGGCGTCGGAGCACGACTCTGATGGCGGGGATGGCGTCAGCGAGGCACTTCCGCTCTCGCCGGCGTGCCAGCTGGCACAGGAGCAGGGCATGTCGGTGCTGGAGGCCTGGGCCCCAGATGCAGCCAGCGCTGAGGGCTGGGGCCTGTATGAGTTTGAGATCTCCTCAGGTGGGTGGATGGCCAACCGAGCCTGCTTAGACTGTAGAGGTGGCTACAGTTGGAAGAGGCTGGGCGAAGGCGAGCTTCATTTTGTGCTGCTGGCGTGTATGTATTGGTTTCTCATCTGCGCGTCTGTCCATCCTCCCCACCCAGCTTCCCATTCTGTATACCGCAGGCTCCCTGCTCAGTGACCCCGTCCCGGTGCTGGTGCTGCCGGATGCACACGCCGACGCAGCCGCCGAGCTGTGCCAGCTTCAGCACCAGCATCAGGAGGATGGCAGCCACACCTCTGCAGCCACCATCACGCGCCTGGTGGCGACCGTGCTTCGCTACCTGCAGCAGCGGCAGGCAGCAGATGCTGCTGGCCCTGCCACGGCAGCCGAGGGCACATTCAATGCTGCTTACCCGCCCTCTGCCACCGTCAAGGTGGCGGCTGTTGCCCAGCGCCTGGTGTCGCTGGCTGTGCGCGCCAGGTGGCCAGCAGTGGCCCGCCTGATGCTGCCAGCCATCACCGCCGACGGCAGCAGCACCGCGGCGGCTATGCGCCAGCTAAATGCCCTCAGCGCCCCAGCCCCCAGCCTAATCCATCTGGCAGTGGCCTCTGGCAGCGCCGACACGCTGGCCGCGCTTCGGAGCTGGGCCAGCCGCCAAGGCATGCCGTGGGAGGAGATGGCGGCAGCAGGGGCCTCACTGCCACGCTCTCTTGACCTGCTGCTGCTGGCGGCCGCCATGGGCAGCGCCCTGGATGAGCAGATGGTGGAGCAGCTGGCAGGTGAGAGCACAGCGCCTCTGCCTGGTGCTGGGCGGGGCTCGACCATGGGCCCTGCAGCACGTGGTGCGCGTGCCTTTGTCCAGCCACACCTGCTCTGGGACCCACTGCCTGCTCCGGCCCGCTTGCTATCGCGCCGCAGAGGTGCTGGGAGAGGAGCGCTTTGCCCATGCGGCTGATGTTGTGGGCCCGAGCGGCTGGTCCCCACGCCGCGTGGCCGTTGAGACCAGCAATGCTGCCCTGCTGGCGGCACTGCCGCCGGGGCCGCAGCTGGAGCCTGCCATCGTGCCTTCCACAGCCCAGGAGTCGGAGGCAGGATCGTCGGTTCAAGAGGAGGGAAGCGAGCACTTGCTGGCGAGCCAAAAGCTGCGGGCTCTGGAGGACGAATGGCCCTCCAGCTACGCGCCACCCACCAAGCAGGCGCCTGTGGCGGGAGCGGCAACGGCCCATTTCAAGGGTCCCTTTGCAAGTTCGGGTTGGCACAAAATCTCCCCAGCGGGACCAGCCGCCGCCTCCCAACGCCGCCACCCTGCTGGCCAGCCTGCTCGGGGGGATGCATGTGCCTCCGGAGCCAGGCACAGCAGGCATGGCAAGCAATGGCAGCGGCAGCGGATCTGGCGGCTCCAAGCACAGCTCTTGGGGCGCAGAGGTGTGTTATCGTGCTGTGGTGTGCCGTGCTGTACATGCTTTGCACCTGGGCCTGATATGCCAGTTTCCTCTCTGCCATCCTTGCTCTACTGCCGCCCAACCTTCGCCGGCCCCTTGCCACCTTCTTTGCCTTCCCGCCCCGCAGTGTTTCCGTTCGGGCTCGACGATGAGCTCACGCGCCCCCAGGTGATGTGGGTGGGGGACGTCGATGCCGTCGCCGAGGCCAAGGCGCGGCTGGGGCACGGGGCGCGCCCAAGCCCATCGCCCGCCGCTGGGGCCTACACCTGCGCGGGAGACGAGGCAGCCGCTGTGTCCGACTGGCCTGTCAGCCACCTGGCCGACAGCCTGAGCGCCGCAGGGATGGGCGGCGCCACCGGCGGCCAAGACCCAGCCCGCGCCGCCGCTGGCGCCTCCTTCCCAGAGCTGGCCGCCTCCATCCGCGCCATGGAGGGCAGCAGCCGGCTGGTATCTGTGTGCCTACAGGGTGGGTGCACGGCGGCGTGCGGGCGCGCCCGCTTGCTGCACCCCCTACCCCTTCATCCCCGGCCCGCCTCCTTGCCCGCTGTAGTCCCCGGCCTGGGGGACGTGCACTTGCTTCCCTTCTACGGCCCCGTGCGCCCAAGCCCCAACTATGCCTTCACAACCCTCGACTGCCAGCGGGTCCTGCAGAAGGAGCATGATAGGATCCAAATGTGGCTGGTGCGCCGCCGTGTCCCTCCTTTATCCGCCTCGCCCTCCATTGTCAACTTGCCCTCTGCCTATTGCCTGCCTGCCAGCCCTTGCCTCTGCGGCCCTGCCGGTAGCCTTGCCCTGCCCGCAGCCCCGCCTCAGCTCCCTGCCTGCTGAGCTCCCTGCCTGCTCGGCTCCCTCCCTTGTGCTCGGCTCCCGCTCGGCTCCCTGGTTGCTTCCCCGGTTGAGCCGCGGAGGCTCTTCCCCATCTTTACCCTGGCTGCTCCTGCCGCTCTACGCCTGCAGGTGGCCCACGCGTACGTCCTTCGCGAGCGGGGCGCCCACTGCCTGATCCTGGGCGACTTCAACCTTGAGGCGGCGGGGCACCACAGGGCTGACGGCCAGACGTTCAACCAACAGGATGCGGTGCACGGCGTGGGGCCCACCCCGGAGCACGTGGCGGCAGAGCTGCTGCGCACGGGCGAGTGGGTGGATGTGCTGGCAAAGTGTGGCTTTGGGGGTGCTGTGACCCGGCCCTTTGCAGCCCGCGGAGCTCCAGCCTCCGCTCCAGGCGCCGACGCGGCCGGCTCCGCCATTGACCGCGCCATCGCTACTCGCGAGCTGGTGCCCTACGTCCACGGCGTCATCGACTGCCAGGGGGCACATACGAGCGACCACGGCGTGGTGGAGTGCTTCCTGTGCACCCCCTAGCCCCCCTCCTGCCCACTGAGTCTCTTTACAACATCTGACATGCTTGCCGGTTGTGCTCCAGCGCCGTGTAACCCCGCCCGTGGCGGCAGTGGATCACGCTCGCGATGCTCGCTGCTGGGGCGGCCGACTAGATCATACTGGACCGAAAAGGCCACACACAGCCGGCAGCGACCTCCATAGCTTGCATCTAGCGCCGTCATGGGGTGGTGGGTGCTGCCGTCGCCGCCATTTGCGCCATGATCCGCCCCCCAATTTTGCCACGTGGAGTGTTTGACTCCGAATTCTCGTCGTCCCCTCTCACAGCTTCTCCTCTCCCCTCTCGATCAGATCGCGTTGGTGGCATCGCAAGCCTTGCACGCCTGCACGCCCTGTGCACGCCTACCGCCGGTCAGCCCTCCGCAAACCAGCCTGGGTCGCTGCTCGCTGTTATTGCGCGCTTAAATCGTGCAGCGATATACATTTACGAGCGAGGTAGGCGAGGATGCGATCGGCCGATGGCCTGGCTTGCCCCTCGCCCTCCCTCGCTGCCCCTCTTGCGCCTATCTCGCTCGCTTTCCGCTTGCAGCACTCGCATCGCCTTTGTTTACGATGCGCCGGGTGACGGGTGCCTGCAGGTGGTGCGATGAGTGAGGGTGGAGCGGGGCCCAGGCCGGCCGCCGTCGCCGCTGCCGGCGCCGCTGATGGCGGGCATGTGGAGATGGAGGCGGAGGAGGAGGCCTGGGAGGAGAAGAAGGCTCGTTTGCAGAGGATGCTGCGCCAGAAGCTCCTGATCCTGGCCGCCGTCTACACGCCCATCGTGGACGAGTGGCTGAAGGACGTGGCGGACGTGGCCCGCCGCCTACCATTCGAGTTCTGGGGTGCGGCCGCAGCGCCGCAGCCTTGCCTCGGCGCCGTCGCCGGGCAGCGGCGGCCAGAAGCGTCCCTTTGCACTCGCCGTGCGTGAATGACAGGCCGGTGATGCATGCGGTTGGTGGCGCGCCCTCCCCGCCTGCAGAGCGCTTGGTGGTGATGATCCAATGCCGGTCGTACTATTCCAGCCTGTGGCGGCTGGAAAAGGACTATCGCCACTTTGCCACCCTGGTGGAGTTCTTGGTCCAGACGATGGCGCATATCCACTGGCCCGTACGGCGGGTAGCGGTCCACTGGATGGTGCTCAGGGTGGGTGCCGCCGGCCGCGCCCGCGCCGCCACCCCGCCCGCCACGCTTGCACTCGTCTTGCCCGCATCCACGCCGTCGCCCCTCCCACGTCTGCAGGCGATGTGCGCCAAGGTGCTGAGCCGGCGCGAACTGGACAAGCTGGCATGGGCCGCGCTGCAGCAGAAGACCGTGGTGGACCACGGCTACGTGCCGGACCCGTTGCAGCAGGTGTGTGTGTGTGTGTGTGCGCGCGTGTGCGCGTGTGTGTGTGTGTGTGTGGGCGTGGGTGGGTGGGTGTGGGTGTGGGTGTGGGTGGGTGTGCCGGCTCCAGGCCTTGCTGCGCCTCTGCTCCCGCCGTTTGCCGTGAACGACGCACTTGCCGCACCACCGCCGCCATGCCGCACAGACCGCCGGGACCACTGCCGCCAGCACGCGGGGCACGATTGCCAGGCGGGTGGCGGTGGCCTGCGGCCTCCAGGTGCCAGAGAGCTCGACTATGGAGAGCGTGGTGGAAGCGGCGGAGGCTGCGTTGGGCGTTCCCCTGCATGCCTTCCGCCGCGCAGCGCTGGACCTGGACTCCGGGATGCGCTCCAACCCTGGCGCCTACAGTGGCTCGCTGGGCACAGTCTGGGCAGTCGACTGCGTGGCAGGTGAGGTGGTGAGGTGGGCTTGCCTTGTGGAAGGCAATCACCGCGCCGGGGCGCCCCCAACAGCCTCCCGCCTCCCCCCACCGCACACGTGCCGCCTGCCCGGGCCACCCCTTCTTCCCTACCTCCCATAGTGCTGATCGAGGAGGCGGTGGCGTTGGCGGGCCACGCGCAGCCCTCGCCGGGAGCGGCGGCTCACGCTGTGGAGGGCATCGTGCGAGACAAGGCATCCCGCCTCCACCTGCCCCGCGGCACTGAGCTGCTCTTCCTCCGCATGGGTGGGCGGCCGGGCCTGCATGGCGTTGCATGGCACTGCAATGGGAGAGATGCGCCTGCAGTTGTGTGTGACAGATGCACCAGGTGCTTGACGAAGCAGCGACACGCCGAAGCCAGCGCCTGGCAGCTCCCGCCGCTCCCGCCGCTGTCGCCTGTCACCAACGCCCGTCACCAACGCCTGGCAGTGTTATTGCTCCTGCTGTCACTGACCCGCCGCCGCCCTGTCGCCTTGCAGGCTTCCTCCCCGGCGGCCGCCTCGACGACGTGCGGGTGTACCGCGAGGGCCTTGCTCGGCGCACGGCGCAGCTGGAGGAGGCGGAGGAGGCGGCTGCGGCGGCGGCATCCACCCACGGCACCATCCTGCCGGTCAAGCGGAGCCACAACGGGATGACAATGATCAAGGACGCCTGGGAGAGAGCGGCGGGCAAGCTGCCCCGCCAGGGCAAGCTCATCTTCGAGGTGCCGCCGGCAGACCGCAGGGCGGGGCAGCCGGAGCGCGTGAGCGGCACGGTGAAGCCCAGCGGCGGCAAGTTTGCGCTGCAGGCAAGCCGCGACAGCGGCAGGCAGCGCATGAAGGCCAGCATGGAGTTGCTGTCGGTCCCGAACAAGGGCAGCCTGCAAGTCGCGGTGCTGCCCGACCACCAGGCGCTTCGCGAGGGCGAGGCGGAGCGGCCGGTGGTGAGGTTGGCGGCGGCCGGCTAGGACAGCGATGGCGGCGGTCCCGCGGCGGCGGGTGAGGCAGCAAGGCGGCACCAGCAGTGAGGCAGGCATTAGCATCATCAATAGCATCAGGAGTAGCATCAGTAGCGGTAGCAGCATCAGCGACAGCATCGGCAACAGCATCAGCGACCGCAACAGCAACGAGCATCCGTACTCGGCAAGGTGGCACCATCTTTCTTGTAGTCAGGCGTCAAGCAACAACAGCCACCCACATTCCCCACCCACATTCCCCAACTGCGTCTGTTACATTGGCAGGCCCGAGGCAACACGAGCAAACAAGAAGTGTGTGGTGAAAGGGGGAGGGGTACGGGACGCGCACCGCAGGAGGCGAGCATGTGGCGGAGTGGCCGGGGCAAAGGAGGGCAAACACACCGCTGCATAAGGGTGTCGGCGGAGAGGAGGTGGAGAGGAGACAGACAGGCGGCGAGGGCCAGGAGGAGGGGGGGGTCACTGAAAATCACTCGCCGGTGATAAAAGCTGCCGCCTGGTCCCCATACCACCAGGTCAGCTCTGTGAAGCGTGGCGGCGGGGCGCCCCCGCCGCGCACCGACATCACCAGGTCAGGGCCCACAGTGCACACGGCGGCTGCCTCGCTCGCCGAGCAGTTCACCAGGTGCGCATAGGCGCCCGGCCAATGGTAGAGCCCGGGATCCATCACCACCTGCCCCCCAAACATCTCCCGCTGCTTGGCGGGGCGAGAGACAGGCAGGTCGCCCTCGATCCAACGCCGCCTGTGCCCCCACCGAAGCACATAGGCGCCATACAGGGGCTCCTCGCTACGCAGCCTGCCGCAGTAGACGGCCACCGCCTCGGCAGGAGAAAATGAGTGGCGGCTCCACACGTACACCGTGCGGCCCGCGGCGGGGTCAGGGGCGCCGGCCACCACCACGTGTGGTTGGGGCTCGGCGCCGGGCACCTTCAGGTACACCAGCACCCCGCCCGCCTCTGCCAGCGGCCGGGCGATCGCCGCCGCCCGCACGTCGTCGGGAGCCGCATCCAGCATGCGCAGTAGGTCGTCCACACCCACCCCCGGCGGCACCCGCACCTCGACGGTGCACAGCGGCAGCTTGAGCCGGAGCATCAGCCGGCGCGCCAGGCGCACAGCCGTCTCGGCGGGGCCGGCCTGCAGGGGGCGAGGGAGTGCACAGGGCGGGCTGGGTGAGGGAGGGCGGGCTGGGTGAGGGGGTGGCACTGGTGCTACCGCAGAGGACGATGAGGGCGGCCAGAAGGGGAGGACGGTGAGGGCGGCAAGCGCCCTCGGCGCCCAGCAACTCCTGAATGAACGAACGCTGGAGCAGCGCCTGCCGCCAGCTCACGCCAGGGATGACCCGCGGCTGCGCCCTCGGCGCCCAGCAACTACTGAATGAACGAACGCTGCAGCGGCGCCTGCCACCGGTTCACCGGTGCTGGCGCTGCCACAGGAGAGTGCCACGGGAGAGTGACACTGCTGTAGGAGAGTGGCAGTGTTGTATTGCAGGAGAGGAGGAGGAGAGCAGCAGGCACCCGCGCTGTGCCACCGTGCACCGGAACTATTCTTCCTAGCAAAGAGGAGGTTGCGGCACCCGGCGGACGCATGGTCATGCCTGGCCTGGCCTGGCCTGGCCTGGCCTGGCGTGGCCTGGCCTGGGCATGTGGGCACATGGAAGTGGGTGGCAGCAAGTGACAGGAGAGCGCGCCCACCCCGACCCCAGCCGCACCCCCATAGCGTAACGCACCCCTGCCCGCTCTAGATGCTTCACGGATGCTTCAAGGGAGCGCAGGTTTGGCACGGCCTCAGCAAATGCCGCCAGCACACCGGCCTACGAGAGCATGGGTGGGGGGGGGGAAGGGGGGGCAACATGCCACGGTGGTCGGTGCGGCACACAACGCCTCAAGGTGATGCCGGGCGCAGCAACCATGCCACGCCTGCCTATGCCCGCCGACACGGGTTGAGGCCAAGAGGCTAAGGCCATGATCCCGCTGGGATGTGTCCTCAGGACCCGCGCGGCGGGGCACAGGCGGGCGGGTAGGCAGGCAGGGTGGGACAAAGGAGACAGAACAGAAACACACAACACACACAGGCGGCGGCGGCGCCTGTGTGTGTGCGGCGGCGGCGCATGCGGCGGCGGCGCAGAGCTGCAGCAAACGCGCCTTCAAGAGCTGCGACTCGTCCAGGGCCGCGGCATTCATGCCCAGAGCTTGCGCCGTAACCACCGCAGGGTCCTGCACAACGGAGCCATAGCCACCAGAGCGACGGCGCGATGGAAATAAGACAATGCCCGTGCTGCGGATGCTGCGGAGGGGCGCGTGGCGACGGGCACATGCTTTCAACACCCGCCACTGTTGCGGCCGGTCCGCCTCACCTGCCAGCACGACGTGATAGAAGACTTTGCGCGCGCCCAACCCACTGCATGGGGCACATTGGTGGGCATGGGTGGGTGGGTGCTGTGCGGGGACGGGGCGCAGCCCTGGCCTGGGAGCGGCAGCCCTGGCCTGGGAGCGGAGCGGCACCGGCACATGAGCCTACAGCAGCGGTGCAGCGGAGCAGCGGCGGCATGAGGCGCGGCTGCTGCGCTCACCTCCTAGCCGCCGCAGCGCCCTCTGCAGGCCCAGCCGCTCCTCCTCGCCCATGCAGGGCGGGTACGCGCCCGCGCCGATATGGAAGGCCTCCCACAACGCGTGGATTGCAGGCGGCGACAGCCCTTCCGCTATGCCGGGCATCGTCCCAACCCCCACGCCCCACCGGTGCAGGGCGGCGCACGAGAAAGACAACCTGCACGAGCAGCGACATGGGCACACACAGGGCACTCTGTGTGTGCACCTTTGGCGGCATCCATGGTCTGACCCACGGCGCGGCAGCGCAGCAGGAGCACGGCGGCGGCGGCGGCGCCCGGCAGCCGTGGCGCGGCGAAGCGCGGAAGGGGCACGGCGGCGGCGCCAGCGCCCGCCGGCGTGGCTCACCCGCCTATCTTGACAATCTCCACCGTCGTATGCCTCAGCCGATTCCATGCCCACTGGGCCCTGTCTGGGCGGCGCAGGACAGTTGCAGGCCGCTCGCGGGCGGGGGCCTCATCCCACTCCAGGGCCGGCTGTCGCGAGTCCCCAGCACGCACATTGAACTGGAAGCCTTCGGCACACGCAGGCTTCGGGTTTGCCGCCTGCTTGCCACGATGCCGACGGCGCTTGCCCGGGGCCTTAGGCATGGCGCGGGGCTTCAAGCATGGCGGAGAGGCACGAGTGCAGAGAGGGGCGAGAGAAGGGCGAGAAGGGAGGGTAGGCCAGGATTTGCCCAGCCGCCCAGCGCAACTGTCCTGCGGGCGATGGAAGGAGGAGGCAGTCGGAGTGGTCGACAGCGACTAGGGCGTCGCAGGAGAGAGCTGCGATGCGCCCCGGGGAGGAAAAAGGCCCAGCGCGCATAGCACGACCCGGCCAACAAACTCGTGCCGCCCGCGCGCGAGAATTCACGCACCCTTAAGTGCACACGAAGGCACGATACACGGGTGAGCCACCAATCAGCGGCCGCCCCCGCCGCCGCCGCCGCCGCCGCCGCCGCCGCCGCTCTCCGCCATGCGCAGGCACTAAATGACTTGTGGAGCTAGTCGCAGCTGCCCAGCGACACCCCCCTCCCTCCCACGAGCTCATGGAAGGAGCGCCCTAAGCCAGGCCACTGCCCCGGCGCCTGGATCGGCGGAGCTTCTTCTTGTGCTTCTTCTCACTTGCACCTTCGTTGCCACTTGCCCGCTCCACCAGCTGTGCACGCTCCCCCGCCGCGCTGCTGCCATCTGCAAAGTGTCAAGTCACACATAGCTTGCTCGGCTGCTATGCCTACAGCCACCCGGCGGCGTGGCGGTGGACCACAGGGCACAGCTCACCCGGCAGGCCATCGTCCCATGGCCGGCAGCGGCCCAACGTGCCGGTGAGCAGCCGGTCCAGCTCAGCCTCCGGGAACAGCATGGTGCCCGTCCTGCGGAGCGGGCACCGGCATCCCGGGTAGAGCATGAGCGGGCTGGACACCACCGCCGCCACGTAGACGAGGCGATGTGCCCGGCGGGCGGGGCCCGGCAGGCACATGCCGGCCAGCGCGCCCCCCAAGCTGCACCGCAAGCGGGCGGGCGAGCTGCTGGAGGCGGCGGCGGCAGGCAGCGGCGGCGGCGGTGGCGGCATGGTGCAGCAGGGCGGGCCTGCCTGCCTGCCTGCCTGCCGCACGCCCGCAGGCCGCCGCACGCAAGCAAGCAGACAGGCGAGCTAGTGCACACGGCGGCGGCGGCGGCACGGTGCAAGCAGGGCCTTGCCTCCTCCCTGCCTGCTGCCACACCGCACGCACGCCTCCTACCTGCCTGCCGCCTCCCTGCCTGCTGCCACACGCAAGCAGGCGAGCAGCAGGCGGCGGCGGCATGGTGCGGGCGGGGCGGGGCCTGGCAAGCACATGCTGCGCCGCAAGCGGGCTGCACCACTTGCGGGAGGCAGCGGCGGGGTGCAGGCGGGGAGGGGCCTACCTGCTATCGTGCCTGCTATCAGGGGTGCATGCCACGGGTGTTGCAGGCAGGCCTACCTCTCAACAAACTGGGCGTGGAAGCGAGTGGGGCGCAGGATCGGGCGCGTGTCATCTGGGAAGCCGCCTTCCGCCTTGAGGCGCCGCAGCACCATCTCCTCCACCTCGTACATGAGATCGTTCTGCACGCGACGCCGACGGGCGGCGGCACAAGGGTGAGCGGGAGGGCGCTCGCACTGGAGAACATGAGCAGGCCTCCCCACCCCATCCCCCCTCTCCACCAGACTCGAGCTCACATGGTAGCAGTAGATGCCGCCCATCTCGCTCAGCTGAGTGGGGCGCAAGGCGTGGCGTGCAGCCCTTCCACACACACGCACAAAGCGGGCGCGCGCCAGATCCACTAGTGCCGGGGAGCCACCCTCCCCGCTCCAGACCACCTTGTAGCTGCACGAGTGATTGCATGAGTGGTTGGAACAAGGGCAGTAAAGCGCCGCCACCGAGGAGCCGACATGCATTAGCTAGAACCCCACCCACCCACCCACCCCACTCACCCCAGACTCACCGCGCCTTGCCCGCGTGCTCGCTCACGGTAGCGACATAGAAGCCCCCGCCATGCTCCGCAAAGATCACCTCGCCGGGCTTGAGTCCGGGACACCGGCTCGTGTCCGGCTGGCCATCGATTATCACGCATGGCGTGGCAGCTAGGTCCTCCACGCCCTTATGGTGGTCAGACCCGGGGGCCTCATCCGGGTACATGGTGGAGATTGTTGAGAGGCTGCTGGAGGGTGGAGGAGAGGTGCAAAGTGCACACGCCGTCGGGAGACGGGTGGCTGAAACTTGCCAAGGCACCAACTTTGGCATGCCAATTGGCTGGATGTGCACTAGATGTGCAGGCCCCACCTGGGAACGCCTGTGACCACTGCATAGTACCAACACTCCGAGCACTCCCAGTACACCATCACGCTCGCTCCCAGCACTGGCCTATCCTGGGGGTCCTCAACCGCATACTCAGGCCCCGGCGGCTCCAAGCCCGCATCTCTGCAGGCGTGCCAAGAGGAGACACGAGGAGGAAAGAGCATGAAGAGAAGGAGGGGGAGGGGGGGCGGGGTGGGATGGGGCGGGGCGAGTAGGCACGGGAACCTCGCTGCACTGCCTCCCCTGCCTGCGGGGCACTCCCACCACCACGCCTACCTGAGAATGTGGCGCCCCGCGTACTGCGGCTCCTCGAGCTGCCCTCGAAGCAGGGAGGGGGCCCGGGGATCTAGGCCCCGTGCCTGGCACCACTTCGTGATCCTCTCAGAATCAGATGGCAAGTTCCAGGAAAAAGGCCCCACCCACACCTTGCCACCCGCCATGGTGTGGGCGGCATTGGTGTACTCCATCTCCTCCCAGTCCACTTTGGAGGGGGTGGAGGCCGCGGCCGAGCCAGGAACGCCACTGGGGGCCTCCGCCTTCTTGGCTACCCCTACATGTTGGGCCATGTGGGGAATGCAGGGGAGGTGGGAGGCGGGCGCCACCATCCGCTGGGTGGGCGGGTGGGAAGGCGAACGGCATATGGGCCTCACCTCCGCGCCCCCTCTGCTTCTTGGCGGGGCTCGAGCCGTCGGCCCCCACCCGCTTGCGTTTGCCTGGACGACCAGACGGAGAGGCAAAGGGGAGACGCGCCGTGTGAGACAAGCGTGCGAGGCAAGGAGGTGGGCGGGCGGGCAAGGAGAGGGGGCCGGCTAGCAAGGCATCGCATCGCCGGGCATGGCATCGCCGCCTGGGCACCGAGCCCCTACATCACCTGACAAGGGGAAGGCGGTGTGCCTCTTTAAGTATGAGCGCTGGAACAGCCCAGGCCCGGTTTCTCCGCGCTTGAGGTAGTTGATGGCCGGGTGAAGACGTCCTGTGCCTGCGCCTGCGCCTGCCTTCTTCTTTTCTTTCATCTTCCCTGCATGTGCGTGTGCGTGTGGAGGTGTGTGTGTGTGTGTGTGTGTGTGTGTGTGTGTGCGCGCGCGCGCCGGGATATGTCAAGCAAGGTCAAACGGCCGCACTAGTTGCACCTACCCTGCGCCCGCTCCTTCATCACCCGCTCATTCTGCCCGCCACCATCACGTCTACCTGCACAGAAATGGGTGGGGATGGGGTTGGAGGATCGGGGTGGGCGGGCGGGGTGGCGTGGCGGCGGCTTCACTTCGGCTTTGGGGGCATTGAGGCCAAGGGTCTAGGTCAACCCACCCAGGCCGGCTGCTCGGCGGTGGGTAGCAGTGCCGTCGGCCCTGCCAAACGCGATGTTGGCGAGCTTTTGGTCGCCTGCATATGGCCTCCAACCGAAGAAGGCGGTCAGCTTGGCTCCACGCCGCCAGACCAAGATCCCCGCGCACACCGCCAACACCAAGAGCTGGAACGCAAGGGAGGCGTGGACGGCGGGGCGGGTGGAGGGTGGTGGGATTGAGCATCAGAGCGATCAAAGGAAGAGATGGGCGCCCGCCGGCCAGGTGCACCCACACCACAGGTGCAACACCCAACCTTCACTCCCACCTGATGGACAGTGCGGCGGCTCCGTTCCTCATCAGGCAGTGCATTCCACAGGCCTACCCCCTTGGGAGGCAAGAGCGGCGTGGAGAACAAGCTGCAGTCCGCATCCCGCCAAGCGGACGCCCAATCGGGGCGGCTGCACACCAGGCTTCCCACAAGCAGGTTGAAGCCATCAGATGCAAAGTAGGCACCATACCCTGCGAGGGGTGCGGCACCGGCGTGAGTGGAGGGTGGCCTGAGGGGAGGGTGCCAGAAGGTACCAGGGATCCATTTCTGCCGAGGAGTTGAATTTGTGCAAAGGAGTTGGAGGCAGAACTTATAAAAAACAAAAAAAAACAATCTCACCATTGAGCAGCATGTTGGCGACGGTGCCACCTGTGCCGTCGCTGCTCTCGCTGCTGCTCTCGCTGCTCCTCCTGACTGCAAAGTATTCCATGAATGGCTCAACCGCCTTGCCCTTCCTGTCCACCTGCGTGCGTGCGGGGAGGCAAGGCAGGGAGGCGAGGCAGACACGCGTCTCTAGCCATCTAGGCAACGTCAAGCACGCATGTGACGGTGGCTAGTGCGCCCTCACCACCCTCATTGCCGCCGCCCTCACCCCTGCCAGGATATCCGCAAGGCTGCACCGCTGGAAGATGAGGTCGGCGATGCCCGCCATCATCATCTGCCCCCACGGAGACAGGTACTTGAAGGGGCTGGGCCCGCCTGCAACAAGCCACAACAAGCGACATAACACCAGCACAGCACAGCACAGCACAGCACAGCATAGCACCGCACCAGACGGCCACGGTAGCCAACACAAGCGACAAAGGGGTCGCAGGGCTTTGGGGATGGGCGACCAGAAGGGCTGGCTTTCCGGCGCATGCGCGGCGGCACCTGGGTATCGTAGCGGCAGGGTAGCGCCAGGCGTGCGGGCCACCTCCCACATATTGGCCTCGTAGGCGGCCGCGGTGGCGGGCGTTACCGGGGCGTCAAGCACGCCCGTGCGTTGCCGCAGGAAGAAGACGTGGCGATTGTCGGGCAAGCCAGTGCGGAAGACCAAGGCGGCGCGCCTGCGAGGGACCCGAGGGGGGGCGCATCTCAGCTTTTTCCTGACGTTGTCCTATGCCACGGCGCCACCGCGCAGCCCACACATTGCCCATCCCAGCCCAGGCCCCAGCCCCTTGCCCTCTCTCACCCGTATCCAGGAAGCGAGCCGATGAAGACAGCCGCCATGTTGGGGGCGCACCAGAGGTGGGGGTAGACCTGGGAGCGGCGATGCTTGTGGGCTTCACCGGGCGCGGGGCACGCCTCCCGGTAGGCGTACGGGCAAAGCGGATCGCCATGCGTCAGGAGGTCCTCGTCGATGAAGAGGGGGTAGATGGAGAGGCCCAGCCGCACAATGAGGGCGCTGCCATCCCCAAAATAGAACGCGAGCTCCTGCAAGGGAGGGGAGGGGTAGGGGCCGGGGTACCTTGAGCGCGGGGCCGGGCGCTAGCAAGAAAGGCGGTTTTAGGGGCCCGCCAGTGAGAGGCATTGGCACGCTCGCCTTGCCATTGGTGCCGACATAGACCAGCGCCTTCCCGCCCTGGAAGAAGGCCCCGAGGCCAAGGTCCGGCTCCTTGGTGTTGTTGAAGTTGATACAGGGGTTGACGATGCCCACGTCCACAGTATGCACAACGAAGGACCCCTCTTTGGTCAGCACCTCGTTCAAGTACCGCCCGATGGCGTCCACCTCAGCATGCTCGGGCATCTGCAGGATGGGAGCCGGATGGCACCTGGTTATAGCATGGATGAGAGCGGGATGGCATGAA